TAAAACTTAACTAATAAGTAATTTGTACAGTACTGATTAGAATGAATTAGTTGGAAGCATCTCAGTGGGATCTCGCAATGAAGATATAAACACCTGTGAAAGTGACTGAAAACAGAAAAGGAGGTACAAAACCCCAAGTACTGAAATCAAGAACATTACTATTCCAAAGGTATGCTTTCACAGCACAATGATCAGTTGTGCAGAAACACTCCTGACAGGCTGGTCAAGTCAAATCTGTATGTCCATATAACAACAAATTCCAGTGCAGGCCCACTCTACCACCACAACCAACTAGGGAGCCCTGTCTCCAAGCAGGATTTATTGTCTTGGCTGCAACAATTCTTTCATATGGACGACCTGTATGATTCTGACTCTGGGGTTAAGATGATCTTAGCTATCTTTTCATCTTTGAACCATGCTCTACTGCATAATGGAGACAGGCTGAGCATAGGGATATCCAGGGCAACTTAGATCTAAATACAACTTCTTTTGCTTGATAGCCTAAGACTCATGTAGTTTATTATGAAGTCTGCTAACCTCTGAAGTGAAAACACAAGACAGTTATGGTGACTCTCTTCTCACCAGAGGTCAACCTCTAGATCAATATTTTGTACAGAAGGGAATTAGGGATTTTTTCATTTTGGACTGCAAACTGGAATGCTGTCTGGTTAGCTAGTTATTGTGAGGAGGCAGAAATGTTATTTGAGAATAGTATCTTCTCTTGATTCCTCTCATATTTCCAGATAACGGAACTGCAGGTGGTAGAGAGGCACTTCCCATCTACACCACAAATGGTCCAGAGTGTACAAAAAAAAGCTAAGCATAGACATCAGGAAAAAAAACACAAGAATTTCTTGTTTTGCTTAAAAGTAAGCAATATTTATGCTTTGACATTAGAAGTTAGCGTAGTTTTGGCAACTCTCTCCACACACACCCAACCCCAACCCCCTCAAGCTGCTGTTCCTTTCATCAGGTACCCTGTGGCTCTGGAAGTACAAATGAGTCCATCTGCCCCGAGGGCTACGGATTATGCATAAATAACAGGGGAAATTTGGCAAGTTTAAAGGCAATAGCTCTTGCAAAGTCCCACTACTAAGAAAGGGTACCAGTATGTGTGGAAGGGGAAGGAAGAGGAGAAGGGAAGCTATGACTATGGGATGCAAGGACAATTTTGCAAGTATGCACTGCCAAAGCTCAGCTGGTGTTGCATTATGTGAGAGCCAAAGGTTTAGGCTAACTAAAGCAGAGTGATGGCTCTCCAGTGGTCATCATCGAAGACTGATGATCACCACAAGCAGATGCATAAACAGAGTGAACGACAGTCGCTGTAGCAAGGAAAGCAAAACTGAACAGGGATGTTTAAATGGCAAAGCTCATTTAACCACAGCAAACTCTGTTCTAGTCTTCTGTTACAGGCCTTAATGAGCAGGAAAAATTGGCTTGTGCAACTTTTTTTTTTAGTAGAGAAATTACTTCTTGGCTTTGTCTGCACTTCTACCACCCCCATCATCCCCATGTTGTTATAGCAGTCTCCTAGGATGGAGGAGAGAATCTCTCCTGTTAGCTTTATACCTCTCTCCTTTTCTGCCTGTCTTGCATTCAGATGTATTCAGAAAGCTGAGCAGAGCCAGGTGGATTAAAGTTCTATTGTAAATAATTTGTCAAAAGTTGTAAGAAGATAGATATTAACCTGCTCCAAACTGCATTCAGGAAGGCAGATTTACCTGTTGTGCTGCTGGAACTTTCATTCTGTTCGGAATGAGCCTGCAGTGGAAGCCCAGGTGAAGGTGAGGAATCACTCATGGTACTGAGACATTCAGATGCTGAAGGGAAAATAATGGCATACTGTGACAAGTGTTTTTCATGATCATCATCATTTTCATAAACACATGAAAAAAAATAATCACAAAGTCTTTGGCACTTTAATTTAGACAACCTTTGAAAGCTGTCTACATAACCATGAAAGGCTAGGTAAATTCTGCACGTGGCATTTTGTGCCACTGGGCAATAGGGATCAAAAATGTGTAAATTGTGATTAGTAATTTCTTGTTCTCTGCCTAACTGAGCAATAAGCCATAAAGGGCTAATGGACAATCCAATACAGGCCTTCTGGTGATTGCAATACGGTGACTGCAAAAAGAGGAAATATGGGAATTAGTGGGGGTCTGATAAAGCCCCATGGAGGACTGCTTTCCTGGTAATGATTCTTTGCTGTGTACGTCTTAATTTCACCATGTGATTTCAGCAACTCGTCAGGGCTGCTTTTCAAACCAAACTGAAGTATTCCTCTCAGTGCTGTAAAGCTCAAACCTAAGATGATGGTTTACTCATTCACTGCTTCCCGTCATCCATTCACTGCTTTCCTCCTATATCCTCCAAACTATCCTTAGACTGCATGTTTCCTATTCCATATTGCTTATGCTCCAGTCCCCAAGCTGCCCCTCTTTACCACTGAGTTTCAGAATTCCATTCCCATTTTTTTTTCTGCAGTCATACTAGCCTTTTTCTAAACTTGGCCTCCTTGGTTCTTGCTCATCGACCCCTAACTATTGTTTATTCCATTTAAGCTTTGCTTGAGGATTTTGCATGTATCCACTTCTCATTCACAGCACAATTCTTCAGCCTTGCATCCAAACCCTATGGCGCTTCCACATTCAATGATGGCTGCAAAGGCTCCTTTAACACAGTAAATATAGAAGTCTCATAGACTACATTTATATTAGTAGATTAAACAGGTACATTCCCAGATACTGGAACATTCTAGTCTATACTGTTAACTTGTTAGAACACTGGTATGGTATTGACTGTGCAGCTTAGCAGTCTCCCCCAAAACACTCTTGGATACACAATTTTTGGCCAGGGAAAAGGCCATCTTGTTTTGGGAGACTGAATTTACACAGCCTATTCCAGACTGGTGGATGTCAACATTAGAGAGTGCTACTGGGTATGCTTCATGTATCAGAATAGATATACCCATTATGGTGCAAGTAGTTCATGCGTCAAAATGACTGGGAATACATGAGGTCAGATAATGTAATCTTAAATCTAACTGCAATATGAAATGAGACAACTGGATAAAACAACAAAGAAAATACTGAAATGTTGCCAGACAATAGATTACCTGTACTGGGTTTTTTGATTGGCTCTAGAGGGAAATTCCCACTTTGCTTTTTTTGAGCTGGAGGAAGTTCCATAGACAGTGCTTCCACATCAGGAAACTACAGAAAAGAAAGAAAGAGGGCTTATGTCTCCCAACTAAACATTTAGAAAAAAGCCCAGTGGACACCCCTCTTTGCCCCAACAAACAAAAAGAAAACAAACAAACAAACAAACAAACAAATAACAAGAAGGGGAAAAAAAAAAAAGGGGAGTTGCAACGGAATCAAATAAGTAGTACCAAGTCCAGTGGCCTTGAGCAACCTGCTCTAGTGGGAGGTGTCCCTGCCCATGGCAGGGGGGTTGGAACTTGATGATCTTCAAGGTCCCTTCCAACCCAAACCATTCTATGATCCTATGATTCTATAGTAACTATAAAAAAAGATATGCATAGTACACCTCAGATTCCAAAGTACATCTTTGAGTATGCTTTATGCACTTACAGCATTTATCCTGTGAGATTACAACAGGAAAGTTCCCAAGGCCACTTTTAACCCAGGAGGGTTAGTCTTACTAATACCCTTTCTAGTTAGCAGAGAGAGGTTTTTAAGGGGTAAGTGAAAAGACTTGAGGTTCAGCTTCTGCTCTGAATCAGACTATCTCGAAAGTTTATGTAAGGAATCTATAGAGTTTGTATTCAATAAACATATACCGTCTCCAAGATATGTTTCCTTTGAAAAGGGCATATAATTCCCAAGATTAATTCTACCACAACTGTCCTCTGTAATAGTTTCTTGAGATAAATTGAGGCTGAGATGCAAATCCACAACTGTCTTTGTGGGAGTATGGCAAACAGTACCAGGCCTAACACAAACTCATCCAGTTTTCAGCCACATTACCTTTTTCAGGAAAAACTCCTTGCTGAATTCTGATTCAAAATATGGAGGAATTATTTTGTTTTTTATTGCCATTAAGATCTTCTTTTCTTCATCAAGTTCTTTCCTAAGTAAGTTTTAACATTGTTGGTAAGGAAAAGAAAGAATTAATCATTGTAACTGAGTTCACCCAGTTTTTCAGTATTATGTTTAAAACATTGAGGAATGGAATTGATAAAGACACACATAAAGGCTGAATGTTATGAGCAGGTCCAGGGAGGCAGGGAGATGAACCTTCCCCTCTACTCAGCACTGGTGAAACCACATCTGGAGTACTGTGCCTGTTTCTCGGCTCCCTGATACATGAAACGCATGGACATACAGAATTAAGTCCAGAGAAGGGCCACAAGGATTATTAAGAGCTTAGAGCAACTTTCATATGAGGAGAGGCTGAGAGAGCTGGGACTGTTTTGCCTTGAGAAGCTTTGAAGCTTCTCAAGCTTCAAAAGACGTATATCTGTGTTTCTATTTGAAAAATCAGCTAGGATTTGTAGAATACCTGAATCTTAACTTAAAGAATCAACATTTGAAAATAGTATATCAATTATTTGATAATAATATCAATTATTTTCCATGCTGGTGGGAGAGTTAGAAAAAAGAACACAAGATTTCTGACTTCAGCCTTGTTTCAAGCAGTGCAAGTTAACAGCAACACTGCTAGGTGTTGAAAAAATGAGAGTTAAACCATCCATTTAGCATTTCTGTTGCAAAAACACCCCATTATTTGCTAGCAAACCACTGGACCATTACCCAAGACCTGCTGAAATTAGTATCAGTCTTTCCAAAACCAGACTTGAGGTGGAACTTAAAATCATTAGCTTTCTGTCCTATTAATACTAATATGTAATACTACTATGTAATACTACTATGTAATACTAATACTAAAATGTAATAAACCTGTAGTATGAAAATTTCTGTGCAAGACTTGCTAGGATGGACCTTACAGTCTACCCTCTTTCTCTTTTATCATACCCCCTCCTTCACAAAAATTTCTTGTAAAAAATTAGTTGGAAGAAATCTTATGGCACCCAGCCATTACAGTGGTTTTTTGTAATAATGTGCCTTGATGGTCCCTAATTCTTTTCTGAATTATTCAGTGAAAGCATCGAGAATTTTAGTCATTGATACTAATTTCAGAAATAAGAATGTTAGGGTTTTTTTGAAATCAAATGGCTTTCAGGCAGGTGAGAAATTTTCCCACATGAACAATTGATTGCTGAGATTGCATTTGCAGAATTAGACAAACTCATTACTTTGAACAGCATGAAGCCAAAATATAACTTGTGAAAAGAACTATAGAGTTTGCTTAATGTATAGCATTCCAGGTGGGGGGAAGTCATGTGTGTGATAATACTATTACCTGTGCTTTTCTAGTCTGCTGTGCCACTTGGACACTGGTGTTACTCCTTCCGGGCTGAATGATCAGGGAAGAAAAAAAGCAGTTAAAATGAGAAAACTAGCATGATGTTTTATTAGCACTAAGATATTTACAAGATAACCTTGGAAAGAAAATGCTCTGTATAAGAGTACATTATATTAACATCTCAGGTGATGCCTGACTTGCACTTTTATGGTTTGCAGCAAAACTGTTCGTTCATATCTGCATTTTTATTACATCATTCAATCATAGAAGCTCTCAAAATACTTTTCCAACAAATATTATCTTTGAGATAAGGAAAGAGAGGCACAGAGGGGAAAGATAACCATAGGAAAAGCTAGTAAAATATTGCTATGTGTATCTAGAGATCTGGGTCCTGGTCCTTAATAAGAGTCAGCACACACCTTGCACTGTACCAAGCACGTCGCCTTGCCTGTTGTGCTTGGTTCCAGCCGTTGTGTTATTTATATTTGCATCACTTCTCATTTGTCTCTCCTACCTGATCCTCTGCTGTTGGTCCTCTCTTTGAGTAGTGATTGTCTTCTCTGTGTGACACGGGTGATGAGAAGCCACTGCCTGTTCATACAGCTCAGTTATATCAGCTGTAAGGTAAAAAGTATTATTGGATGTACGTGTTCTGCAGCAGTCTCCATTTACATCGCGTAGTGTGGTGGGTTTTTTTTTAAACAGAAATAGTCTTCACAAGATAGAAAGGGCACAAAAATACGGGATTTGGTCCTCTCTTTGAGTAGTGATTGTCTTCTCTGTGTGACACGGGTGATGAGAAGCCACTGCCTGTTCATACAGCTCAGTTATATCAGCTGTAAGGTAAAAAGTATTATTGGATGTACGTGTTCTGCAGTAGTCTCCATTTACATTGTGTAATGTGGTGGGTTTTTTTTAAACAGAAATAGTCTTCACAAGATAGGAAGGGCACAAAAATACGGGATTGAATACTGTGGATTGTTCTGTGGGAAAGGCTTATGGATTTTGAAAAGAAACAAACAATTTTCATTTATACCTGTTGAAAGCATTAATAAATGTTAACAAGTATCTTATGAAAACTTTAACAGAAATTCATAAGGGAAAACTAATACACTGTTCCACCTTTTCTCTCAGGCAAGGCTGATGTAACCAAAACACACAATCATTTGACACCAGATTTTCAAATGTAATGAACAACCAGGACTTACCTAGTTGCTTTTAAAACTTGTCTGAAATGTTAACACTTGTATAAAACTGAGTCATAGTTCTTATACCTGAGAAAATTCCATACGTGTAGAAACATGGGTCAAAAATGGCAAATGCACACGCCTAAACACAGGAAGTGGTTTTTACAGATAGTCAATTATTGATGCTAACAAGTTCTAATTACCTGTGAATATCATACTCAGAATAGAAGACACAAAAGCATGTAGATAGCACATAGATGAATTCACCTTTATGATCCTTCTTTAGAAATAACACAACAGTACTTTATAATTTACTATGGTATTTTGCAATTTTAAAAGACATTCAGCTTTTATTACCTCTAGCACTGAGATCTTCAAATGAGTCGTCCCAGTTAGAGGAGGACTGCAATGAAGAAGGAATAACTGTGAGCATGTGAGAAACAGACCTCACAACAGCAGCATCTTGTTCAAAGGATGTCTATCCTAAAAAAAGTGTTACCTTGTTACCTCAGAATGTGACTACAAGACTGGAGGTATTTCAGTGTGTTAGAAAACACAAGGTGGTGAAAAAGGAAATGAAGTACAATTTCCCTGGTGTAAACAAGTATTTGTTTCTTTCTCAATGACCTACTTTATAAATGGCTTTCTTTCATATGGTTGCAGTTTATTAAATCAACTAATCCAATTCATATTCAAACTCAAATCCTTCTGAAAAGGATTTGAATCAGATCTAAAACTCACAGTCATAACAAGAAGTCAAACAGGAAATGTGTTCAGGAATTCGTAGACTTCATTACTGAGAAGCTCTCTTGTGGTTTGTTTGCAGTAAAGTCTTTGAGGGGCATGAGATTAAATGAAGCTCTTTCCTTTATTCTTATGCTGTCCCTGAGGCAGTTAAATGGAAAGCAGAGATCCTGTGACCAGGCAGTCAAGGTTGTAACAGAGCTGGGGAACAGTGGAGACTTGAGAGGAGTGTGACACCGATTCCTGAGTCACAGCTGGTCCCACAGTGAGACTCTGCTGCTCAGAGAAGAGTTGTTCAGTGTGAAATCTGTACCTAGAAATGTGCTTGTTTGGGACAATCAACAATAATTAGTCACTAGACAAATTAATTGGAACTGAGCAGCATGTGAGATTCAGCTCCTGGATCTTACCAAAGCATGTAAATGTCTGCCTAGAGGATAGAGGCAGATAGAATTCTTGATAGATCACTTCTCTGTGCTCCTCTTACCATAAAAGTTGTGAGCTCCTTCTTGGTTTTTTTGCTAGTGTCCTGGTTTGAGGACATATATATATATATATATATAAATATAATAGAACTAGTTTTCTGTTCAGTAATTTTACTTTTTAGCTGGGCCTCTTCTAACTAACTAAACTCTGAAATTAACAGCATATTGTTCCGAAACTGTGCACTCTCACAGTGATAAGACCTGATGATACCAAGGAACAGTATGCAGAGAGGCTCTTCCTTATACTTATTGCTGTAACATCCAAGGTCAGCTAACTTCGTTATTTGCCCTGTTGGAGGGTCAGAGACGGAAAAGCATAGAGGGGTCACACCTGTAGGGTGACCAACAGGGGTATTCCATCCCATCTGCATCATGGTCAGTATAAAAGCTGAGGGATCAAAGGGTCAAGGCTCATTATTCAACCAGTATGCAGAGAGGCTCTTCCTTATACTTATTGCTGTAACATCCAAGGTCAGCTAACTTCGTTATTTGCCCTGTTGGAGGGTCAGAGACGGAAAAGCATAGAGGGGTCACACCTGTAGGGTGACCAACAGGGGTATTCCATCCCATCTGCATCATGGTCAGTATAAAAGCTGAGGGATCAAAGGGTCAAGGCTCCTTATTCAACGGCCAATGTCCAAGGAGGACCCTGTCTGTTTGTCTGCCTTTGATTCTGATCCGAGCATTCCTGACTCCAGAGCTGGAATCCAGCTCCTGTCCATCGCCAAGTCCAGTCTGGGAGTTTTTCCCTGTGCCTGCTGGTGATGTGATTGTCAACCTGGGAGCTTGATACTGTTTTGTGTATACTTTTATTTATATATTTATTTTAATTTTCTTCTTATTCTTATTTATTATTTCATTATTTTTTAATATTTTCATTAAAGTAGTTTAATTCTTTTTCTAAACTCACAAATCTCTTTATCTCATCCTCTCCTCTCTTTGGAGAGGGGGGAAGAACAGACCATCTGTCATTCTGATTGGCTGATCTGGCCAAAAACATGACAGCTAGATACCTTTTTTCCTCCTCTCTTCTCTTTTTAAGACTTGTGTGTCACTTGAAAATACTGAGCAAAAAAAATATATATGAAAGCTTTTAATAGCAAAAAATAGCCTTCTTTCAGCAAATAAAAATGCTAACTTGGCTAAAAAGTTCAGAGACAAATCCTAGAATTACATGAGTTTTCCATAAGCTTGTATGGGGATGGGGGAAGTTATAGATCTATCCAGAAAGCTAGGAAAATGAAATTAACAGCATTTAAAAATTGAATTATCTAATTCCTAATGTTTTTGCACATTAAGACAAGGTTTAAGTGTAGACTCTAAGGCTAAGATGATGTTAGTTTGCTGGAATACCCTCACTTCTGAAAGCTTGATAGATAAGACAGAAATGAAAATTTAAACTAACATGGCTAGATCCTGTTTTTCAAAGCCCAGATTTTTTAATTCAGTATGTTTCAATTCACTATATTTGCATTATGTGATTAAATTAAATTAAAAGTATTTCCTAAATGAGGCTAAAATAGAAAACAGTGATTAATAACTATTAAAAATCTAGCATGTGAATTCACATCATGCAAGGTACCCAATTTAAAGGAAGCTGTGGAAAACAAATTATTTAAAGAACTGAAATAGAGCAAACTGACCACTCTTTACACAAGATGCAAGCAGTGTTCCTCTTATTTATCCTAATTCTTTCCACTCACTTCTGCTACTTGAACTTTTCCAATTTTTTTTTTACCATTCACCTCCCACTGACCTGTTACCTGACTGCTACTCTAAGTCCCTCTTCCCTTGTTTACCTACCTCACCCGTTACCTATTCCCCTCCCTTTTCTTTTCTTGTTCTAATTATCTGTTTAAATTAGCAGAGTACATTTTCCAGTAATAAAAATATTCCTCCAGATTGTTTTTGGATTATCCCAAAAGCAGGGTTTAAAATCTCACTATGGAAATGGCTGTGGATGAAATACAAGTCTCCCAGCTGTAATGACAACAGACTGGAAACTCTCTCATCCTAATGTTGGGGCATATATACATTTCAGTAATTTTAGCCTGTGTGTTTGAGAATGTATCATTCCCTAGACCCAAACTCTTGAATTATTTCAAGCATTGCTTCCCCAAAACAGCAGCAGTGCCGCTCAGCTGAATCCTGAGTGTGGCTCTGCTTTAGCATTAAACTACAGCAGGGCTGGCACTTGTATTATCCTAACATTTGCTATTTTATTAATGGATAATGATGTGTTTTAAGGTTGACGCTCCCAGTGCATTACAATGGTTTTGTTGGAAAAAGTAGTTAAAAAATGTATTTTTCTCACTGTAACCAGGTCAACGAGACTTGCAGCATTCTCCTTTTCCTCTTCTGTTCTTGGTTCTTTTATATTCATCTCTTCCAGCTCATTGTCCTGCTTTAAAATGTTGTCTATATATTCCTGGTGGAACAATGAAAGAGAACAAGAAAGATGCAGATGTTTTCTTTGCAGAGGTAGATGGAAGGGTCACATACATACAGAAAGGAGTTTGTAGAATCAGTAGATGTATGTGCTTCTTCTCAATGTCATAAAGGCCCCTTCTGTGAATTTGTGTGAATGTGTTATATAGATATCTAAAAATTTGAATGGAGAAATAGTTTTAAAAAAACCCAACAGGTCAAAGTGAGGAGTACATGCTGGGAAGGTAGAAGGTGAAAACTTACCAACTCTGAAGACTAGCAATACTGTTGAATCTGTAAGGACTAATATACTAAGGCCATCGAGAGTCTGTCGAATCTACCAGGCCAGTAGCACACATGAGCATCCACAATGAACTGGGTGACTTTGACCACATCCAACAGCTATCTACATGCCCTCGGTGCGTGAGCGTGACCCCTTGCTTCTGAGTAGGCAGGTAGGTTTGGCCTCCCAACCAGGCAGGCACCAGCCAGGCAAGTACAAGTGAGCGTGCAAATGTTTGAGTAAACTATGCGAGTGAATAAAGGAATATGTTGAGTAAATAGCTGCTATTAATAATATTCAATTATATTATTAAGAGCAGCTTAATGAATAAAAGGTGTTCTGACAAACATTGTTTGTGATCTGTATCTCCCTCCTGTTTGATCTCCTATTACGGAAAAGGAAATTTACAACATCATAATTCAAAAATTAGGGTCAGAAAAATATCTGAAGCTCTGTTTTTAGACAGATTTTTACTTTGACAGAATCACACAAAGTGCTACAGAAAATCACACTTTTCTTTTCCTAGACTTCTTCATGGTTTAGAATATCTGTTGGATGTAGAACAAGGGTTCTTACAGAAGGGTGTCCTAACACACCGTTCTGCTAGAAAGCTACATGCAGTACTGACATTTATGAATAGACAAGGTTTGCAGAAGCAATCTGTTTGCAGTACCAGTTCTTTTTCATGCCTTTATACCTCTTATATCTTAAAGGAGAAGGAAAAAAGAAGAATACTTTTTTTTTTAGATCTTGATTTAGTTCTGACAAAGTGAATATTTGGCTCAAGATTTAAGATACCTCTTTTCTGGGAAAATCCATTAATTAAATACCGATGTATAAGCAATGAGGATACTTCCATTGCACATTAATGCAATTATTACAAATGTTTTCTCAGCACCAATTATTGCAATTCTTCCTTCCTAATGTAAGAAACAGCACTCTTTCTCTAAAAGCCAACAACAGATCTGGTCAACAGAGAAACTGACCTTGGGATTTTGGTGTGGAGCTTTTTTAATAGTGTTGCCTTAGAGAGATCAGTATGCAAATTAAAGAATCATTTTTATAGATTTGTAGACTGTAAAAGGGTAAAATTTAATTCTGATAGACTGGCGTGTCCCAAACATGCCAGGGCTGAACAGCCGTCAATATTTTTCTATTGCAAGCACATATTCTTTGAAATGTAGTGTGATAAAAAAGCAAACAAAACTTCTAGCAGGCTACAACATGCTACTACCTTCACAAATTTCATAATCCGTTAACTTTCAAATTCAGTCTGCAATGCTATCATCAAAATAAGGAATAGCTGAAGGAATAAATTAAAGAACACATGTATTGTTAGTTTCTAATTGGTAAGTAATAATGAGTTTTTAACTCTGAAATCTCTTCTAAGAGCACCTTCACAATGTGAATTAAATAAATCAATATTTTTTACCAACACTGAGAACTACAATCATCTGCAGGACTTTCAGATTCCATGTCAGAACACTTGCACATGAGGTGTAGGTTGCACCTTGTTATGAACCAGCCACTCATGAGGGATGGAGACACACTTTGTCAGAAGTCTATGTGGCTATTTTGCTAGACATGGGTAGAGTGACAGAACTCAGACATGAACCTGGAAATGTTCTGTACTGATTTATGAAAACAAATACATAACCAAAACTAGAGTGTGTCCCAGTGACCTGGTCATCAAGTTAACTGTAGAATTATGGTGGGTTAGAAATTCTTGTATAACTTTCTAGACTTAAGTTTTTAAGGCTCTGTGAAGGAAAACAAACCCTCAAATAAGTAAATGCAAATAGATACCAATATTGACAGAAAGAAAACTATTTGTTAGTGTACCGTCTGTGATGTGTAGTGGAATCCCACATATTTGCCTGGAGAAATAGGTTCCACAAGAGATGAGTGAAAACAGTTAAGCTGCTTCAGAAACACACTTTTCTTAGAGCACCAGTCCACAAATGAAATGCTGATTGTTCTTCAAAAGTAGCAGAATTTTTGTCTTGGCTATATGCTACAAATTCGTGTCACCCAACTTGTCTGTTCTCTGTTGCTCACCAGAAGAATGAACAAATGTGATTGTACTACCTTAAGGGAAAGCTGCAGCTTTTCTCTTAACTCATCACTGAGTGGCTCATACTGGAAGAGCTGACGAATTTGCAGTTTTTTAGGACATTTTCGCACAGGTACTGGCAAGCACATCTGCTCTTTTGATCCAATGCAGAGACCCTTCCAAATATGTCTTCTGACTGAGGGATCTGCAATCTTCCTCTGAACATAGACAAGACCACAAAAAAAGAGCAAGAGGCTACTTATTTTACTGCCTAAATGTAGATACCAGCAATGTGTGTCTCAACTGAAAAGCACGTGCTCTCCTTACAGCATCATAGATCAAGACAATAAAGTCAGTAGATTTTTTAGGCACAATTTATCTACTCTAAAACGTTTTCATCTGGCAAGATAAACTCCCCTTAAAATTGCTATATCACCTTACTGAGAGTAGAAGCATCCCAAGGTGACTACATTTTCCCTCACACAGCCTGCCCCTCGTTTTGCCTGTTTAACATATGGGACTTAACGATGACACATTGTTTAGAGCTCCATTTCCCACCCATCCCCCATGGCAAACATCTATTGCTTAAGCAGCAAAGGACAATTTTGAAATAATTATACCTCAAGAGGAGAAAACGTGTTCGAGGTACTTGACTGAAGATTTGGAGGAACAATACTCTCCGGTTCTTTCTTCATGATCCAAGGGGAGGATTCAGCCAAAGGGCGGAGGACAGTAATACTTAAAACACCTGGTTCAAAGACACATTCTGCTAAGAATCATAGAATCATAGAATCATTGAGGTTGGAAGAGACCCTTGGGATCATCGAGTCCAACCATCTACCCTACTCTACAAAGTTCTCCCCTACACCATATCCCCCAACACCACATCTAAAGGGCTCTTAAACACATCCAGGGATGGTGACTCAACCACCTCCCCGGGCAGCCTATTCCAGTGTCTGACCATTCTTTCTGTGAAAATTTTTTTCCTAATGTTCAGTCTAAACCTACCCTGTTGGAGCTTGAAGCCATTCCCTCTCGTTCTGTCATTAATTACCTGTGAGAAGAGACCGGCACCAACCTCTCTACAGTGTCCTTTCAAGTAGTTGTAGAGAGTGATGAGGTCTCCCCTCAGCCTCCTCTTCCTCAAACTAAACAGTCCCAGCTCCTTCAACTGCTCTTTGTATGATTTGTTCTCCAGGCCCTTCACTCGCTTCGTTGCCCTCCTCTGCACTCGCTCCAGCACCTCGATATCTCTTTTGTATTGAGGTGCCCAAAATTGGACACAATACTCGAGGTTCAATCAGTTCAACTCAACTCCAAAAATGATGGACAAGTGTCTCAAACCTCCAAAAAAATATACTTACCTAAGTATAAAAAACCTTATTATTAAGTGGTAAAACTCCTTGTGAAAATGTAATACTCATGATGAAAGATAGTATCGGATCGCTGAGGTGATTATAGAATAGTTGGATGAGCTTGGATCACTGATGTGATTATACAACAGTTGGACAAGTTTTTATAGTTCTGATTAATTTTAATGTTCTTCAAAATATTTTTTCCAACCTGAAAATCTACTTAGTCTACTATTACCTACCCGATAGGTGGCCTTGAAAATGGATATGACCACTGAGGCAGTTAATCACAATGGTACAAAACTGTAGAGCCTTGGTGTCAAGGCAAACAGAGCCAGTATTGAGAAAGGTAGTGTATGACGTCTGGAAAAGCAGACGTGCTACTATTACAAATGACTGCTGGTTGCAAGCAGGTTTTCTGGAGTGGGATTTTCACTGGGTATGTACCTCCTCCATCTTCCTGATCTTTCCACCTTCCCTATCTTTCCATCTCCCTCAGTAGCCTTTCTCTTTTCTTCTTCCCAGGACAAAATGACTTCATTCACTTCATACAACAGGGAGCCGCTCATGTCTTAGCACTTTACAACTTGAAGCAAACTATCCTTATCATTCAATATCCAGGGCAACCTGATGTAAAAAGACCTTCCTGTCTTTTTAAAGGTATATTTATTTTCTTAGGATCTACCTGTTACATCACAGCGTATTTTATAGAAACACAGTATCTCCAACTAAAGTTGCAGTAATAACCAATAATTTCAGGATGTAACTTTTTGTATTGTTACTATGAGGTGGTTGGTGCCATGTACTACTGGCATCTCCTATTTCAGTCATATTTTTCCAGCTTCTTAATAACATCTATTTTATCCTTTCCAACATCCAGTCTCAGGGTCAACATCATTGTCTTCATTGATAAATAGAGCTATATGATTAATAAAGACTGTGATACATTCCATATTTTTTGACAGTAAATATACAGAGAATCTATGCATTTGGTAATGGCTTTTGTTTGCATGTCTGAGAGTAGATAAAGATATGCCAGTTGTTTGTTCACTCTTCACAGTGTCATTCAGTTAATTCTCTGCTTCCCAGAGCTTTCCAAAAGCTCCTTCTTCCCTGTGCTTCAATACCAGAAGTATGGGCACCTGTCTACATGGAGTACAGTATTTTCAAATTTCCTCCCCAAATAAGAGTTTTGAAACTTCTATAATTATTTCTGCTATTAGTTTCTTGGAAAAGAAATAAAATTTTCCTACCTGGGCGTCCTTGTACAGGATCCTGCAAGACAGCAGTAGAGGGATCACTACAGACTTTGGCAAGATACTCGTGTACATCCCTGCTCCGCAGGAGCTCGGTTCCAGAACCATCCGCGTGGATGATGAAGAACCTACACAGCCAGCCACACACATTGGATTGTATCGGGCATAGGAGGCAAGGTGTTAGCAGCAGGGGTCTGCAGGGTGGACTCTATGGAAAGAGGCCAGGAGCTGCCCTGTGCTGGACACAGACAGTCCCAGCTGGCTCCAACACATCCCTTGCAGGACACAGCTGAGACCCTCAGCCAAGATGGTGGCACCTCAGAAAAACTGTGTGTAAGAAAAGGCAAAATGCCACACAGGCAGTGATGAGTGAGGGGCAAAGTATGAGAAACAGCCCTGCAGACACCGAGGTCAGAGCAGGAGGAAGGGGAGGAGGTCCTTCTGGTGCCAGAGCAGAGATTCTCCTGCAGCCTCTGGAGGAGACTGTGGTGGAGCAGGTATTCCCCTGCAGCCTGTGGACAGAATCATGCCAGTGCAGACAGATGTTTGACTTTGACCACATCCAACAGCTATCTACATGCCCCCGGTGCGTGAGCGTGACCCCTTGCTTCTGAGTAGGCAGGTAGGTTTGGCCTCCCAACCAGGCAGGCACCAGCCAGGCAAGTACAAGTGAGCGTGCAAATGTTTGAGTAAACTATGCGAGTGAATAAAGGAATATGTTGAGTAAATAGCTGCTATTAATAATATTCAATTATATTATTAAGAGCAGCTTAATGAATAAAAGGTGTTCTGACAAACATTGTTTGTGATCTGTATCTCCCTCCTGTTTGATCTCCTATTACGGAAAAGGAAATTTACAACATCATAATTCAAAAATTAGGGTCAGAAAAATATCTGAAGCTCTGTTTTTAGACAGATTTTTACTTTGACAGAATCACACAAAGTGCTACAGAAAATCACACTTTTCTTTTCCTAGACTTCTTCATGGTTTAGAATATCTGTTGGATGTAGAACAAGGGTTCTTACAGAAGGGTGTCCTAACACACCGTTCTGCTAGAAAGCTACATGCAGTACTGACATTTATGAATAGACAAGGTTTGCAGAAGCAATCTGTTTGCAGTACCAGTTCTTTTTCATGCCTTTATACCTCTTATATCTTAAAGGAGAAGGAAAAAAGAAGAATACTTTTTTTTTTAGATCTTGATTTAGTTCTGACAAAGTGAATATTTGGCTCAAGATTTAAGATACCTCTTTTCTGGGAAAATCCATTAATTAAATACCGATGTATAAGCAATGAGGATACTTCCATTGCACATTAATGCAATTATTACAAATGTTTTCTCAGCACCAATTATTGCAATTCTTCCTTCCTAATGTAAGAAACAGCACTCTTTCTCTAAAAGCCAACAACAGATCTGGTCAACAGAGAAACTGACCTTGGGATTTTGGTGTGGAGCTTTTTTAATAGTGTTGCCTTAGAGAGATCAGTATGCAAATTAAAGAATCATTTTTATAGATTTGTAGACTGTAAAAGGGTAAAATTTAATTCTGATAGACTGGCGTGTCCCAAACATGCCAGGGCTGAACAGCCGTCAATATTTTTCTATTGCAAGCACATATTCTTTGAAATGTAGTGTGATAAAAAAGCAAACAAAACTTCTAGCAGGCTACAACATGCTACTACCTTCACAAATTTCATAATCCGTTAACTTTCAAATTCAGTCTGCAATGCTATCATCAAAATAAGGAATAGCTGAAGGAATAAATTAAAGAACACATGTATTGTTAGTTTCTAATTGGTAAGTAATAATGAGTTTTTAACTCTGAAATCTCTTCTAAGAGCACCTTCACAATGTGAATTAAATGAATCAATATTTTTTACCAACACTGAGAACTACAATCATCTGCAGGACTTTCAGATTCCATGTCAGAACACTTGCACATGAGGTGTAGGTTGCACCTTGTTATGAACCAGCCACTCATGAGGGATGGAGACACACTTTGTCAGAAGTCTATGTGGCTATTTTGCTAGACATGGGTAGAGTGACAGAACTCAGACATGAACCTGGAAATGTTCTGTACTGATTTATGAAAACAAATACATAACCAAAACTAGAGTGTGTCCCAGTGACCTGGTCATCAAGTTAACTGTAGAATTATGGTGGGTTAGAAATTCTTGTATAACTTTCTAGACTTAAGTTTTTAAGGCTCTGTGAAGGAAAACAAACCCTCAAATAAGTAAATGCAAATAGATACCAATATTGACAGAAAGAAAACTATTTGTTAGTGTACCGTCTGTGATGTGTAGTGGAATCCCACATATTTGCCTGGAGAAATAGGTTCCACAAGAGATGAGTGAAAACAGTTAAGCTGCTTCAGAAACACACTTTTCTTAGAGCACCAGTCCACAAATGAAATGCTGATTGTTCTTCAAAAGTAGCAGAATTTTTGTCTTGGCTATATGCTACAAATTCGTGTCACCCAACTTGTCTGTTCTCTGTTGCTCACCAGAAGAATGAACAAATGTGATTGTACTACCTTAAGGGAAAGCTGCAGCTTTTCTCTTAACTCATCACTGAGTGGCTCATACTGGAAGAGCTGACGAATTTGCAGTTTTTTAGGACATTTTCGCACAGGTACTGGCAAGCACATCTGCTCTTTTGATCCAATGCAGAGACCCTTCCAAATATGTCTTCTGACTGAGGGATCTGCAATCTTCCTCTGAACATAGACAAGACCACAAAAAAAGAGCAAGAGGCTACTTATTTTACTGCCTAAATGTAGATACCAGCAATGTGTGTCTCAACTGAAAAGCACGTGCTCTCCTTACAGCATCATAGATCAAGACAATAAAGTCAGTAGATTTTTTAGGCACAATTTATCTACTCTAAAACGTTTTCATCTGGCAAGATAAACTCCCCTTAAAATTGCTATATCACCTTACTGAGAGTAGAAGCATCCCAAGGTGACTACATTTTCCCTCACACAGCCTGCCCCTCGTTTTGCCTGTTTAACATATGGGACTTAACGATGACACATTGTTTAGAGCTCCATTTCCCACCCATCCCCCATGGCAAACATCTATTGCTTAAGCAGCAAAGGACAATTTTGAAATAATTATACCTCAAGAGGAGAAAACGTGTTCGAGGTACTTGACTGAAGATTTGGAGGAACAATACTCTCCGGTTCTTTCTTCATGATCCAAGGGGAGGATTCAGCCAAAGGGCGGAGGACAGTAATACTTAAAACACCTGGTTCAAAGACACATTCTGCTAAGAATCATAGAATCATAGAATCATTGAGGTTGGAAGAGACCCTTGGGATCATCGAGTCCAACCATCTACCCTACTCTACAAAGTTCTCCCCTACACCATATCCCCCAACACCACATCTAAAGGGCTCTTAAACACATCCAGGGATGGTGACTCAACCACCTCCCCGGGCAGCCTATTCCAGTGTCTGACCATTCTTTCTGTGAAAATTTTTTTCCTAATGTTCAGTCTAAACCTACCCTGTTGGAGCTTGAAGCCATTCCCTCTCGTTCTGTCATTAATTACCTGTGAGAAGAGACCGGCACCAACCTCTCTACAGTGTCCTTTCAAGTAGTTGTAGAGAGTGATGAGGTCTCCCCTCAGCCTCCTCTTCCTCAAACTAAACAGTCCCAGCTCCTTCAACTGCTCTTTGTATGATTTGTTCTCCAGGCCCTTCACTCGCTTCGTTGCCCTCCTCTGCACTCGCTCCAGCACCTCGATATCTCTTTTGTATTGAGGTGCCCAAAATTGGACACAATACTCGAGGTTCAATCAGTTCAACTCAACTCCAAAAATGATGGACAAGTGTCTCAAACCTCCAAAAAAATATACTTACCTAAGTATAAAAAACCTTATTATTAAGTGGTAAAACTCCTTGTGAAAATGTAATACTCATGATGAAAGATAGTATCGGATCGCTGAGGTGATTATAGAATAGTTGGATGAGCTTGGATCACTGATGTGATTATACAACAGTTGGACAAGTTTTTATAGTTCTGATTAATTTTAATGTTCTTCAAAATATTTTTTCCAACCTGAAAATCTACTTAGTCTACTATTACCTACCCGATAGGTGGCCTTGAAAATGGATATGACCACTGAGGCAGTTAATCACAATGGTACAAAACTGTAGAGCCTTGGTGTCAAGGCAAACAGAGCCAGTATTGAGAAAGGTAGTGTATGACGTCTGGAAAAGCAGATGTGCTACTATTACAAATGACTGCTGGTTGCAAGCAGGTTTTCTGGAGTGGGATTTTCACTGGGTATGTACCTCCTCCATCTTCCTGATCTTTCCACCTTCCCTATCTTTCCATCTCCCTCAGTAGCCTTTCTCTTTTCTTCTTCCCAGGACAAAATGACTTCATTCACTTCATACAACAGGGAGCCGCTCATGTCTTAGCACTTTACAACTTGAAGCAAACTATCCTTATCATTCAATATCCAGGGCAACCTGATGTAAAAAGACCTTCCTGTCTTTTTAAAGGTATATTTATTTTCTTAGGATCTACCTGTTACATCACAGCGTATTTTATAGAAACACAGTATCTCCAACTAAAGTTGCAGTAATAACCAATAATTTCAGGATGTAACTTTTTGTATTGTTACTATGAGGTGGTTGGTGCCATGTACTACTGGCATCTCCTATTTCAGTCATATTTTTCCAGCTTCTTAATAACATCTATTTTATCCTTTCCAACATCCAGTCTCAGGGTCAACATCATTGTCTTCATTGATAAATAGAGCTATATGATTAATAAAGACTGTGATACATTCCATATTTTTTGACAGTAAATATACAGAGAATCTATGCATTTGGTAATGGCTTTTGTTTGCATGTCTGAGAGTAGATAAAGATATGCCAGTTGTTTGTTCACTCTTCACAGTGTCATTCAGTTAATTCTCTGCTTCCCAGAGCTTTCCAAAAGCTCCTTCTTCCCTGTGCTTCAATACCAGAAGTATGGGCACCTGTCTACATGGAGTACAGTATTTTCAAATTTCCTCCCCAAATAAGAGTTTTGAAACTTCTATAATTATTTCTGCTATTAGTTTCTTGGAAAAGAAATAAAATTTTCCTACCTGGGCGTCCTTGTACAGGATCCTGCAAGACAGCAGTAGAGGGATCACTACAGACTTTGGCGAGATACTCGTGTACATCCCTGCTCCGCAGGAGCTCGGTTCCAGAACCATCCGCGTGGATGATGAAGAACCTACACAGCCAGCCACACACATTGGATTGCATTGGGCATAGGAGGCAAGGTGTTAGCAGCAGGGGTCTGCAGGGTGGACTCTATGGAAAGAGGCCAGGAGCTGCCCTGTGCTGGACACAGACAGTCCCAGCTGGCTCCAACACATCCCTTGCAGGACACAGCTGAGACCCTCAGCCAAGATGGTGGCACCTCAGAAAAACTGTGTGTAAGAAAAGGCAAAATGCCACACAGGCAGTGATGAGTGAGGGGCAAAGTATGAGAAACAGCCCTGCAGACACCGAGGTCAGAGCAGGAGGAAGGGGAGGAGGTCCTTCTGGTGCCAGAGCAGAGATTCTCCTGCAGCCTCTGGAGGAGACTGTGGTGGAGCAGGTATTCCCCTGCAGCCTGTGGACAGAATCATGCCAGTGCAGACAGATGTTTCCTGAAGGAACTGCAGCCCATGGAGAGCCCATACTGAAGCAGGTTTAACCATGAAGACTGCAGCCCACGGAAAGGATCCACAATAGAGCAGGGGAAAAGTGTGAGGAGGAAGGAGCAGCAGAGAGGAGCTGTTACAGACTGATCACAGCCTTCCATGTCCTGCACTGCTGGGATGAGGAGGAAGTAGAGTGGTCAGGAATGAGACAGTGGTGTTGAGTTTGAGAAAAAGAAGGGATGGGGGAAGGTGGTTTAATTTTCATCTTTGTTTCTCACCATCCAAATCTATTTTAATTAGCAATAAATTAAATTAAATTTCCCCAAATTAATTCTGTTTTGCCTGGGATGGTAAATGGAAAGTCTTTATCTTGGCTCATGACCTTTTGCATCTTATTTTCTCCCCTTGTTCTGTTGGAGAGGGAGAGTGAGAGCACCGCTGGGTGGGCATTTGGCAGCTAGTTGAGGTCAACCCACCATACCAATCAAATCCAACGCTTTCAAATTGCAATCTTTTCTAGATGACAAAAATGCAGAAGTACTGTGATGATTCAACAAGAAAAATTCAATGTGCAAATACAGAGTACTGAACAAAGGAAGCAGAAATCTACAAACCCTGTGCTAATACTGCATAGTGAAGAAAGAAAGTGTAAACCTATGAATCCAGTGCAGTTTACCTGGGGATGTGCTCATCATGAGCAATAGGTTTGTTAACTTCTGGGAGCACTGATGCTGAACTTCTCTCTTCCATGTCATCAGAGTCAGTGCTGGGAACACACACAGATGTGCTGCCATCAGCCATGACCTATAATAGAAATTACATAAAATGATTTGAGTTACATCATACATTTAAAACAGTAACTTGCTGCTGAACTGTAATATGACCAGTGAAAGAGACCAAAAAAACCCAATTCAGGTTGAGCAACCTGGAATTCACAGGAAAAAGAAATGAAAAACAGAAAAAAAATAGTGAAAAAAGCAATAAAAAATAATTCTAGAAAGACATGCCGTATCATAAATGCTAATATCACACGCTGGTATGTAGTAAATGCTCAAGGACTGTTAGTTGTCAAATGGGGCCATCCATGCTTACATTCCATCTTCAACATATATATCTGCAGGCATTAATAGGCAAACTTCACACAAATATACTCCCTTACTGGTAAAGCCAGATAATTGTACACTCAGACAGGTGTTGATGTACCTCTATGAGGTATATATGTACCTATGTATATACACCTACACACAGAGATACACACAAATATATACAGCTAGGCTACTTTAGGAATAAGTACTACAAGGCTACAAGCTGATTTTGAGAGACATTTGTAAAGTAAAATTACTTAAAATACAGAAATCTGTTTCTTTCCATGTATTTTACCTTGAAAAGATTTCCATTAGGATCCATCATCTCACAAATAGTGCTGGAAGTGTGTTTCATAATGTATCTCCCTGCTTGTTTCTCCTCTTTCTTGCTGATGAAATCGTTAACTTCATGGGTATAAACTGCCGAGCAATCTTCATCAATGAAAAGAGAGCCTGTCTTAATGGGCAAAACCTATCACAGTAAAAAGGGAAGAGTTTCAGTCCTGAAAGGTGAAAATTTCAGTTTAGAGGTACCATGAAAATGAAGAACAGATGCAAATCAGGTGGAGAGTTCTCAGACCTTTACTACCGAATCATTCAGTTTTGAGGGACTGGAGGGAAAGAAGGAAGATGAGGTCCAGGAGTTTGGCTGATGTTAGCCTCTCTACCCTTGAGAGGGAGTCCAGAGCTCCTCTTAGTTTAGTATCATTGTCAAACTTACTTAAAGTACATTTAATTCCAATGTTCAGATAATGTGTAAAACCATTAAAGAGCACTGGCCCCAAAATTGAGCCCTGGGCAATCCCCCTGGTGACGGGCTGCCAGCCTGATGTAACACCATTTACTATAACTCTTTGAGCCGGACTTGTCAGCCAATTGCTCACCCAATATATTATGGAATTGTCTAGCCGTATGCTGGACATTTTGTCCAGAAGGATACTGTGAGAGACAATATCAAAAGCCTTGCTAAAATAATAATAATAAAAAAACCCTACTGGCTTTCCTGGGTCAACTAGATATGTTCCATTTTCATAAAAGGAAATTAAGTTAGTGAAGCAGGACTTCCCCTCACAAACCCGTGCTTGCTATGACCAATGACTGTATTGTCTCTCAAGTGTTTTCCAGTATCTTCCAGAATAACCTTCTCCATAATTTTACCAGGCACTGAAGTGAAACTGACAGGCCTCTAGTCACCAGGGTCTTCCTTCTTACCCTTCTTGAAAATTGGGACATTTGCCAGCTTCCCAGTTGACTGGGACCTCTAGTATCTAAATAACTGGCAGAGTATAAAATTGATGGAATCATAGGATTTGTGAAGGCTATAGAGAAGGGAGTTAAAACAGTCAGAGACACAGTGAACTTGGAACATAATGATATATTTCACTGTCATGAACAAAAAATAATTCCCACCTGATATGTTCCCTGGGGCTTTGCTATAATAGATGTTCCATCTCCAAAGATGGTACAACAGGTACTGTCCTCACAATTTGTTATAACAGTAGCAAATTCAGGATTCTCTACTTGCACACATTTCACCTTCCTTGTGATGACTTCCAAGGGTTCATCTACGAATCAATACAGAACTACTAGACAGGAGCACATGAACCATGGAAAAGTCTTAGGATTCAATTTGCCTTTTCTCTCCTAAGGCTGGACCTCTATCTCCCCAGGAAAAGACCCTCAGCCTTCATACGGTCCTTTATCACATACTTTTATGTCAGGCAAACAAGAAGCAATCTTTAAATTTTTGGACTGTGCACTGAATATAGGAAAATCCAACAGCAAAAAATGTCTGTAGCCATTTGTGGATTGTGTGGTTAGGAGAGTAGTCTCTAATTTATCAAGTAATGTACTAACTGTAACAATCTGGATGTTTGTAACATGCAAGTTGGACCACTAAAATTTTTTATGCCTGTGATACAAGCTCCAAGATGTGAAGAAATTCCTTTTCGGCAAGAGAACACAGGGAAAACAAATTGAACTGGTATGTTAACCTGGCCATTGTGTTCCCATTTAATAGACCAGATCAAGGTAATTGTCTTGATTTTTAAAATCCCACAAGGAGATGTTCCACAACCAGAACTTTCTACTGTGTTTGAACATAACAGTCCTGACACCCTCATGTTAATTATAGCACTTCTCCAGCAACTGAACTAAGCATAAAGAATGACTATTAGCCCCATTTATTTCAGGCGAATGCAGTTTCACTTCTACTAGGTGTGGCATTTTCCAGAGCCATATTCAATAAAACTTTGAATCCCTCTGAGGTTGGTGAGTCCATGGCCACTGTGGGGAACATAAGGATGCCCTGGTCCTTATATGCCTATTCAGTCAAGACTCAAATGAGCTTGCTTGGTGTATCAGGGTAGGTGGAGAACTGGCAATAAACATATTAGAATTCAGGCACTGTGGTCTCATGGTGAAGGCACCATGTAAATATACACATGAAAGGAAGAAAATTTGCCTGTTTGCTACAATGTAATTTTTTCGCTAAATACCGATGAAAAAAAGACCCAGCAGACAAACCAAGCCTGGGTTGCACTTGTAGATTTGTTATCTAGGCTATTGATATGAGCCCTCTTTAATAATTTTGACAATTACCTGCTTCACAAGATATAACAGAGATAAGTGCTGCCCTTTTGATTTTACCTGTTTCCTTACTGCGCTCTGGTACAAAAACTTCAGAGTTTTGATAAAAAGTTGTGATCCTAGTTCCATCAGCATGATCTACCACTCTGCTGCCATCCAGCTTCTCAACAATTATCACTTCATCATCTCGTACAGTCATAATCTGAAAGAATGAAGGAATACTCATTTATACTAGCTCTGTGATACTTGCAACAGCAACAACAGTAAAACAAGGCATTATGTACTGAAACCCTCATGAAGCCAGACTACTGCAATTTTATCTACTTCAGAGATCTTGGACTCACTTTTTTTTTCAAAATCTAAAGCTTTTATATTAGTAACAGTGTAATAACACAACCTGTAGGATATATGTTCAAAGAACAAATCCTACAACTTCTATAATGCCTGTCCTGTCTCTAAGCTTAGTAGACATTGCTATTAACAACACAAAAATAGTAATACCGTTCCCTCAGCTGGGTCAGTTGCCTGATAGGTTAACAGTGGCTTCAGATCCATTCTCTTTGCTCCCTCGGTGCCCACTCGAATGCCTGATGGAGTTGTTGTTATCCAGGTTCCTGCCTGGTTCTCGTTAGGTGGCTCAGAAATAACCAGATCCTGCACAGTATTTTCAAACAACTTGTCCTTGCTTGGGTGTAACATGCTGTCACTGCCTTTTCCTTTTTTTCTTTCTGCATCAGACTTGGTATTCTCTAATGGAAAAGACAAAGTCAATAAAATGAAGAACTTCTCTAAGTATTGGTTTTGATTGACTTGAAAGAAGAACTATTTATCAGGCTGGAGGAATATTAGAAGTGCTGTTACTCAAAGGTGTACCCTTATTTAATGCATTCATTAATGATACAGAAAAAGTAAACAGCATGCTAATGACATCTGATTATAACATGACTTTGGAAGAGACTATCAATGCAGAAAAAAATCTGAATGGAAAAAGCATCCAAAACTGTGCCATGAGCTTGAAGATTAAAGCAATAGGAATTTGATACAGCCTATTACAATGAAATTTAATGCAAAAAGGAATAAAAATAATTCATGCTTCAGACAAGTTTGCAAGAGTAGAAGAAAGAAACACCTGGAGGTATCACACATACAGAATGGTCTTGACTACAAGTTATCAGTGTGAAAATACAGTGACAAAAAAGGCAAACACAATTCTATGGTGGATCAGAAGAAAAGGGATTGAGATCACACATTGTGAAAGCTAATGAAGAGATCTTATTAAGAATGCAACAGAGAACTCTGGTCTCCCATATTCAAGAAAAGGAGCTTAGATTAAGTCTATGCAAAAACCAATAGTATAGTCCAGAGAGGAGTCTAAAAGGCTTACAGCATATACATCCTAGCAAAAAAAAAAAAAAAAACCAAAAAAAAAAAAAAACCAAAAAAAAAAAAAAACCAAAAAAAAAAAAAAACCAAAAAAAAAAAAAAACCAAAAAAAAAAAAAAACCAAAAAAAAAAAAAAACCAAAAAAAAAAAAAAACCAAAAAAAAAAAAAAACCAAAAAAAAAAAAAAACCAAAAAAAAAAAAAAACCAAAAAAAAAAAAAAACCAAAAAAAAAAAAAAACCAAAAAAAAAAAAAAACCAAAAAAAAAAAAAAACCAAAAAAAAAAAAAAACCAAAAAAAAAAAAAAACCAAAAAAAAAAAAAAACCAAAAAAAAAAAAAAACCAAAAAAAAAAAAAAACCAAAAAAAAAAAAAAACCAAAAAAAAAAAAAAACCAAAAAAAAAAAAAAACCAAAAAAAAAAAAAAACCAAAAAAAAAAAAAAACCAAAAAAAAAAAAAAAAAAAAGCCAAAAATAAATGAAACATTTCACTATACATTTGTCATTATCAAGCAGTGGAGAAGAAAGGTGGGAGGGAAAGTGTGTTCATAAATAAAACATATGGAATAAAGGATGTACACTGGCCACAGGTCCTGAGACTGGAAAAAAAAGAAGATGGCTTGTCAGAGAAGTTCTCAAACATCCTTCCAGTTATCCTACGGAATATCCTAGGAACAAGAACTGGACTTGATGACTTGAAAATTTCTTTTTGAGAGACTTTTCTCTTTGGCGGCAATTTTTATTCACATACTTCCAATAAATTATATGTTAAAATTATGACAGGTCGTAATTATTTTTTGCACTAAGGAGCACTGACTGATCTCAGACTACACTCTGAGGTATGAAGTAAACTTTTATTTGATTCCTTCTCAGCCAAACAAAATAAGGTAACAGTTATACTGGGACAGACCACAAGTCCATACAACCCAATTAATGATGACCAATTGTAGGTGCCTTGGAATACATAAAACGAGAAAGAAAAATAGAGCAAGTCCTCTGCAAGAGAAGTATTTCTCAATATCAAGACTAAAAACTGTGTAAACCATAACATAACGATTTGACACAACTGTAGTTACAAGGATTTCTTTTAAAATACTTTGTGTTGAATCACTCTGCTGCTGATTTAGTTCTTACACACCCTTTTACTTATTAGACTTGCATGTTAGAAGAAAATGGAATCTGGAGTAGGAGAGAAATTATTTGATATGAAGGTAACAAATTAGCAGCGTGCAGAGTACAGATAAAATTTCTTTTTCACACTGGCAGAATTTTCAGAATAAAGAAATATGCCCTTTATTAAGTATAATCAGATCTGCTAACTTTAAATCTGTCCAAAACACAGAAAATGTTACCTTTCTTAGTGCTGGTGTCAGGTGAAGGCTCCGATTCTGGTATTGGTTGCATATTACCTGGAACTGTAGGTGGTGGTAGGACAGGGCCGGAATCGGGACTCTTGCTCACTGTGCCATCAGCAAACAAAATCTGCAGCAACCAAGGACATACCAGAGGTTAAAATAACTTCAAACACCAAAAGTCACAAAAGAATGTGTTGCAAATGCAACAGTCACTATAATATTGTGGGTAATGGAGGGGAAAAAGTAAAAGACTCAGAACAAATACAAGAAATAAAGAAGCTATCTTGAAAGGTCCGCTAGTTGCTGCAGTTCATATATATAATTACTGGATATTCTATTTACTAACAATCAGGCTTTATAAAAGTAAACAGTAAAGACTATTCTTTGACTCTTTAAGTGGTTAAAGGTTGACGACTTTTTTTTCTTTTTGTAGCAGTGGTAATGCATCTATATCACCCTATTGATCAGGTATATTCAGGTATTCCATATATCTAGGATTGCTGTTAATATTTTAGCCACCAAGACAGCTAACAAAAAGAAATCATGGTTATTCATCTTATTATGGCTGGTTTCTGAGATCTATTGTCCATTACATTCAACTCTTGATATGTATGTTCCCTATGTGGGAATATCCCTGAATTCATTTACAAATACAGTACAGATGTTGTAGGGAAAAGACAGTACAGAATGGAAAACAAATGGACAACATATAGAAACATCTCAAGAGTTACAGTTACTGTAAGGTAATTACATATTTCCTTTTTCTTTTTTTTTGAATGCTTATCTATATGCAACATATTCTTGATGAGTCACAAACACTAAGTTAATATAACCTGCTTACACAAAGACTATCGTACAATCATGCTAGGCACATAAGATGTAGGTTCTTCTGTCAGGAGACTACATTGAGAATATATAGACACACAGCAGCTAGCTTCTTTATGTATTTCTGAAATGGATATGTTTCTCAGAAATCCTGGCTAGATGTTTTAAGATCTAATGAATGAATGTAAAGAACTTGTACCAGGAATTGTGGTCTACTTAGAAAAAAAAGCAATGATTTTTTTTTCTTACAGTTTCTGAGTCAAAAACAGATTAATCCTCTTTTCATCCATTTGCTTACTACACAAAGAACCTTACACTTTAAAAAGAGAGTTGCCTGTAGATTGATTACAGTATCTGCAAAGATGGTATCTAGCCCATAGCACCTAAAAAGAACCAGAATTCTGGGCAACCTTAATACATATAAACAAGGAAGGTACTTAGGAATATAAAGTCTTTTTGATAAAAATTTAGGATACCCAAAGGTGACTGCAGGACTGAAGAACAGTTCAGGTCTTTTCTGGATTCCATATGACTGTTTAGATGACTGAAAAAATATATGGGTACTTTAGAGTTGCAAAAAATACCCAAAGCCCAACTAATCCACACTTCAGATGTTTAAATTCAGGAATGTAGTTCTCAAAACCATATTCAACTATTTCCTAATCCCAAAGTTGCCTGAATTCTTCACATGCCTAAAATTTTCATCTTAAAGCTCCCTATGTGCCTTAAATTCTGATTCTGAACAAAGCCAAGAGTCTTTTAGTTGTGACAATGCTGCAGAACTCAGTGGTTACTTAAGTCCTTCTACAAACTGGACACTTCTCTTGGTTGACAAGCACAAGTTCAAGGGTCATCACACACACAGGCTACTTTCAAATGAATTATACTAAACATACCTGGGTAGATCCATCCATCATGTATTTTATGACAGTTCCTTGACTGGTGATAACCCTTGACACCTCTTGTTCTGTTTGCCTTGCCACAGATGTATACAGTTGAGAGTTCTTTACCTTTTGGGGATAACTCTGCCTAACAAGAATTTCCAGAGCAGGCTGCTTGGACTGTTCTCTTTTGGTGTCTTTGTGCTTTATTTCACCTTCTGTAACTTCAGGGTCCTTCTGTCCACCTCCCATAAGCTTTTCCTCCTTTGCTTCATTTGGTTTGACCTCACCTTTCTCTTCTTCAGCCAGCTCTTTCTCAGCTTCAGCTGTAGTGGCTTCACCTTTCAAACCTGCAAAAAAAATCTGTATTACTTAATACCATGTAGCACATATCAAACAGTGCTAAGCACCCAGAATCCTGGTGTCTACAGAAGCTGTGCAACTCTAGATGAGTAAGACTAACCCTCCTTGGCTTGCTCTGTAACAGAGAGTAAGGGACAGACTCTGTTTTTCAGAGAACAATTCAAAGCAGTCAGCTACTCAGAAATTCTGTATCCTCTCGTAGAGGTATCTCTCTTTCCAAACAAAAATAAGGGAAATATGAAGATGGATTTATTACGGATGCTGAACTTTTGAACTTTTAGAAGACTGACATTAGGTGAAAGGACTTTCCTATCTGCCCTATGAAGGTGAAAAAAGTTACTGGGTTTTACCAAGTTTGAGTTTCTATAGAAACTGAAGTTATGTATTTTGTCTACTTGAACAAATAAGGTTTTTAGATTAAATTATGTTAATGTGTTGAGTGTGCTAATGAGTAAAATTATGGTAGTTGTGCAAAGGGATTATGTGCATGTGTCTACAATTGCTCTGTCCACCTCAACTATTCAGCATTTCAACTTAAGCTCCTTGAGAAACTGTGTATGTTTGACAGCCCTCTGCATCCTCTTAACTTCATATCTGAACACATCTACCCTAAACTGGCAAAATCTGCCAAGCTGGCTCCATCCACAGGGGCATTACTAGCAGACACAAAGACAGATTACCCCACTCTGCTTGGCAGGCTGCACTTGGATTACTGTGTCCAGTTCTGGTCCCCACAATTCAAGAAAGATGCAGACAGACTGGAAAGGGTCCAAAGGAGGGTGACAGAGAAGATCAAAGTGCTGGAGAACCTGTCCTGTGAGGAAAGACTGAAGGAGTTAGGTCTCTTCTCCCTGCAGATGGCTCAGGGGGCACCTCACCACAGTATTCCAGTACTTAAAGAGTGGCTACAAAGAGGACAGAAGCTGTCTCTCCACAAGGAGCCACATGGAGAACACAAGGGACATTGGAAGAGGTTTCATCTTGATATAAGAAAAAATTTTTTTACAGTGAGATCATTCACTGGAACAACCTCCCCAGGGGCATGGTAGAGACCTCAATGCTGGAGGTTTTCGAGATGCCTCCCTTTCCCACAAAAGGTTGGGCCAGATGATTTTTTGAGGTGCCTTCCAACCTGGGCTGTTCAATGATTCTGTGATTTTGATATAAAAAGAAAAGAGATGTCTGAGAACTAAAATGAAGGAAGCTTTTACTAGCAATTTAGGTCTCTGTGGCCAAAAATTAATCAAGGCATTCCTCTCTCACATGATTATAGGTTTTTGCTGGATCCTTGTGTACCATACTACATTTGTTAATGCAACTTAATACAAATGTCTTAATTTTTATTAATTTGTATACACTGAGCTGGTTTCTAAGAGGTATGTTGTTTCATCAGTTGCCAGGAACACAAATAACTGTCCTGGTTTTTATGCAACAGCTGCTCACATATAGGATGTGTTGGAATTACTGCTTGCAAGTATTTGGTGTGTGTGATAAATCTGGTTTTATTCTTGGATATGGGCACCTCTGCAGTTGTGCTGATCTATTTTCACATACTCAGTATCTCAAATATAGCCTGGGCTGGACACATATGCAGATGACTTTTTAAAATTGACCAGATGACAACAACAAAATTCACATTTGTCTGCTTCAAAACCTAACAGCATGACTACAAATCCCTGAGATTTACTACAGTTTACAGTAGGCAAAGATGAACTTCACGTGGAAACAGAACCTCATGAAACAGAGTCATTGCAGAAGGATAAGTCAAGCACAGAAACAGAAAGTATCTATACACCCAACAGTCTTCCAAAGGAAATTCAACGACAAGGGCAAAAAAGCTTATTATGACCATCTCCTCTGTATGTACTGGATGGCATAAACCAAAGGACTTCTGTGAAATAATTCCTGTTTGAAACTGATTGTATCTTTTAGAAAAGCAACAACACTTGACTGCAAAACATCCAGTAGCAGAGAGTCCATCACAGCATGGGTAAGTTTTGTTAATAATTCTTCCCATTAAAAAATGAGTACAGCTTAAATTCAGTATAAGTACTACTTTTCAGTTTCAAGACCCTGAAATTTTTAAGACCTTTTGTATACTGTGTTTACAAGCTATCACCAAAATTCTGTTTCATTGTACTTCTAGATTGGCACCAGTAATTTCTTTGACCTTTTCTTTGGTAATTGAATTGAGTTCTCTGATGACGTGACCTCACTGCAAGAAATATCTTTCAACGCTTTAATCATTCTTGTCACTCTTCCTTGAATCTTTCAAAATACGAGCATCTTGTCTTGTGGACTTAAGAACAGTACTATGATTCCAAAGGAGGTGGACATACAGGCAACGTAACAATCTTTCTGGTATCAGTCAAGATTCCTTGATATATATGCATTTATGAATTGAATTTGTTCATTTTTCTTTAGTATTCCAGTATGCATGCATATTCAACTGATATCCAGCATGATTCCCAATGACTTTTTTAGGGTTGCTGCTTCCCTGCCCCCAATCTGTTTTGTCCAACAACTTAGATTTCTAGATTTTTATATTTGTTTGAATTAAACCACATTATTTATGTTGCAAATACTCTGACAATTCCATGATTCCATGATTATGACAGACTTAGCAATCTGAGACATTAAAATATTCGTATTTTTACATCTAAATGCATCAAGGCAGAAATATTTTTATTCTGTAATTTTAACTTCTTTTAAATTCCTTACTTTGCAGTGGCTCAGAAAACTAACCTCCAAAATTTTCACCAAGGAAAGTTAATACTAGTCCATTGGGACAGGAGACATTCAGACTTCGGAAAGCAAGAGCATTTGTCATCACTTGTGTTTGAGAAGCTGATTCTTCGATTTCTGTCTACAAAATGAAACATAAATTAGTTTTATTCCACATTTTAAAAGAATAAAGAAAAAAATAAGACTACATATTTCAGTTGTAGCAAAATATTTAAAAAACCCAAAGTGTTTTCTACCACTCATTTTTAACATTTTGATAGCTTATGTATTCTGAAGTGGGAACTTTATCTTATTTTCTTTGATTATGCTATCTTCTTTCATTCCTCTTTATTAACTCTTGAAGAACAATCCTTCATAACTTTATTCATTTTGCTGAGTCATTATGGTATCTTGTGCTCAGTGCCAAGATGAGATGACAGTAAATGGATAACGTAAAGCAGAAGAGCATGAAATAGTTCTTGAAGCTGCACATCGGTTATTTTACCTATAATCATTAAAAGAGCACAAAAGATAAGTAGAGCATTACTGCCAGCCTGCTGCAAATACAGCACCAACTTGACAAGGGGAAAGGAAGGAACACTTGGCAGTCAAAACATGTAATCCTCTTTGCACTGCTTTGTAGTGGAAATCATTCTGATGACTAGAAAAGATGAGGTTGATCTAAGGAATGCCTGAAGATCCTGGAACATTTGGAAATAATACAACAATGGCCCCTTTGATGTTATCCCCCCAAAACCCAACGTGACAACAAACTACACTATGTCAGTAGTCATAAGACGAAGAATGCTTTGGGTTGGAGACAAACGTAACAGAGAGAACTTGTCGTGGTATTACCCCATAGTCTTGACTTTTAGGAATAGAAAATTGGCAGATATTTTGCAACCTGTTTTTCAGCATAAAGGATGCTGTACATTTTATAGCTACTTTACATAGTATTGCTGGGTAATGAAGGCTACTCTCAATACCCTAAGATCGTAGCCACAGGATCATGGTGTAGAAGTCACAGAATAGGACAGAAGTAACTCCCAGGTGTAAGTAACAGAAGTAACCCTACTTCTCCCTACCCAATGGTAAAAAAAATAATCAAGTATACCTTTATCGTTACAGAAAAATGTTAACGCAACCTATTCTAAAAATTTCCAGGGCTGGAGGCTTCCTGGAAATCTCTTCTAGTGCTTTAGTGCTTTACCTTGATTAACTTTATTGACATTTTCCTACGGGTTAGCCTGGATCTCTCATTCAAAAAATTAGTTTATTTCTGATTATTTCTTCTGATTATATGCGTCAGCATAAGAGACTATGCTGTCCCTTTAGTTCTTTACAGAAGGCTATTTTGTCTCTCAGCTCTACATCAAACAAACCCAAGCCAAGCCTTTTAATCTTTCCCCACTGGTGAAGTTTTCTAGATGTCTGATCTTTCTTGGTGCTTTTATTAAAACTCTCCAGTGTGGCCCATATTTTTCTTGCAGTGCAGTATCCATAACTGGACACAATACTTTAACTGAGGGTCTACCAGCCCTGAATGGAAAACGACTTCACATATTTAGCAGGCTATCCTCCTGTTTATTCACCTCAATGTGGTCTTTGCCCTTCTCACAGCAAGATGGCATTGTTGACTTAAGTATAGCTTGTGATCCATTGCAACTCTCAGACCTTTCTCTGTAGAACTGCAATTGATAGAACTGTTACCCATTCTGTAAATATATATCGATTACTTATACATAATTGTAGTACCTAGCACTTATTCTTACTGAATTGCATCTTGTTTTACAGACCACATCCATGTGAATTTGTCAAGCTCCCTCCAGATTCTAATCCTGTCCTCCAAAATACTTGCAGACTCACACAGCCAGGTGCTCTATGCACTAATAGGGATACTCTCTGTCCGAAGACGTTTTAAACCAAATAGTAAAAGGCCTTTCGGAAAAACAGGAGGAACTTAAATGTCCTCCTGAGAGAATGTTAATGGTAGTGTTAATGGTAGGGGTATTTGTTTGTATCAGGTTCGTTTGTATGTTGTGCTGTGTTATGCCGAGTGCTGTTTGGCAATTCCACGCACCACTTCCCGTGCTCATGCTCTTTAAATACCTAGCTAAGCTCGTTGAAATTAGGTCAGCAGGACTTTTTGTGGATATGGACAGAATCCATGTTGAAACAAGATCCGCAGCATTACTCATCCACTAGGTACCACAGAAGCAGCATAGGTACATCATGTTTAGAGTCTTCCAAGGCCATTCTTACAACTCTCTGCGTATGCTCATTCTTGCCTTTCTTATTACTCTCTCCTCTCATTTGCTTTGTTATGGAAGCTATCTTCTGTTTCTAATAAACCTGTACTGCATTTAACCATTCATTTCCATATTACCCATTCTACTTCTTTGAACAGTTCAGCCCAGGTCTGACAACAGAATTATGATCTCCATTCAATGTCCCTTGCAAAGGCAACCAAGAAGAGAACTCATAAGCCTCTGGTGAAGGCATAGCAAGAGTGATTTTGAGAGAAGTGGCCAAAAGCAACCAGAGTAGACAAAAGTCCAGTTTTCCAAGACAGAGTTCTGAAAAAGAAATTTTCAGATCTTTAGACCAGAAGGTGCTGAACCTTTTCAGGGTAGTGCCCTAGAAAACAGTAATGAACGGAAGTACAATATCATGAAATGCCTCTGGAATTGGAAGCCACCACAGTTCATGTTTTTTATGTATCACCCACCAGCCTATGGAAGAAGCAGAACATAAGAGGGAGAAATGACTAGGTTAATGGAAAATAATTGGTCATGAAAAATACTATTTGCAGTAGATTGGACTGAAAGATCTGGCTCAGGGTGAGAACCAGGACATTTTATTAGCAGTTTTTCCTGCATCATTTCAGTCATACTTGATTAAAGATGGAATCGAGTAGGGGAAAAATTAAAACACACTACTATATGCTTTAATTATTTTTGCAGTTAGTCTGGAAAGATTTTAAGAACCACATTTAACAAGCACATTATCTAGAAATGCTACTCATTTGCAAATTGATCAGGTTACATGGTATAGCTTTTTATCATAACTATCATTAAAGAATTATTCCAGACAGTGTATTTTAGAACATTAGTGTTACATGAAACTGGTCATGAAACTCATTGCTTTGTGTTCTGATTATGCCTATTTTCAGAAGACTCTTCTTTCCTAACTGGAAGGTGGTAACTAAATTGGTTCTCAATACTATTCATGTTCATTTCTGCCCTTCTGTCAGAGTTTGTTTTGTATTTTAATTTTATTCATTTCTGGGACACCGCTGTTTGGAGAAAACAGTGTCAAAAAAGAAAAGAGGTTAAATCATGTCAAATAGAAAACTCCTGCATCCTCTTCCAGCATCCTGTTAATATCTCCTCCCATATCTCTTTGAGAACTTTTCATATAACTTATACTCCAGCTGATATGTGAAATCACTGGACCAAACAAACCTCCTGTGGTTGCCTACAATATTCTGCCAATAGTTAACTAATGATCTGAAATAATCTAGGATAGTAATTTTACAGAGAGGAACTGTGACCCATTTCTGAACTGATATGGCCTCCCCAACTCACATTCTTTAATGCTAAAAAGCTTCTCATAGAGTTCTGTGGACGATGTTCAAGATTAAACCCTGTGCATTTCTGAGGCACGTGGTCCTGTAATTCCTGTATATACCCTGTGCTAAGTATTCCGTTAACAGGAATTCAGAATCTGCTTTTGAAATGTCATCCATTCTTTCCAAAGACCCTGTACTGTACTTCAAGTTACAGGCTAAAGTAACTTCCTCAAGTTGCTGGTGCCTGGCCTGTGATCAGCTGGAAATACCAAATTGCAGAGCAAGCTTTTGCCAAACTGTCTCCACAAATTTACCGGTTGGTTAGACTTTCCAATACAGGTTTTGGAAAGCACAGAACAGTGCTCCTACTAGGTTAAGCTAAAAATTCATTTTTAGAGCAGTTCTAGTCACTGAGATATTAACAACGTAACACGTGTAACTGTAAAGCCAAAATTGACAAAACTATGTGGACCATGGAAGACACACTGCTTTACATCAGGGAGTTGCTAAAGGCTAGCTTCAGTAACAGCTGCCAATATTTACATCTGAGAACAATCGGAAGAGTAAAACATATCCTTAGAAGCACCATAAATTATTGGGAATTTGTCAAGGCACAGCTCAAAGCCCTCTGAGAAGAACATATGCTTCTGTTGTATAAATTCATGTATTTGATTTTTTTGTTTGTTTCTTTTTCTGTGCTCACTGTATAATGCCTATTCTCTCACCTTTTCTTGTTCCTGCTTTACCGGGTCATCAGGTGGTGAAGGGCCTATTTTGCTACGGCTTGTTTTTGCAGATGGTAGAGATTTTCCTGATTTTTGTTTGACGGACTTATCTTTTTTTTCTGAAGCTGATGTAACAGGAGTAATTATGGTCGGAATATGAACAGAAGGGATGTTCAGAATTCTTGCTAAGACAGGATCTTTTTTATCATCTAAAGAAGGGAAAAGCAATATTTTTAGTGCAATGAAGTTTCATAAATGTAGATGGTCACATTTTATTTTTTAACAAGATTTTGTACACTAAATTTTACCTTTGAAATAACAGTCTCAGTGGGGGAGTTTATTTCAGATAGAGGGACTAAATATATGAAATTATTTAGAAAATCCTTCCATAGACTGGCTGACTACTTGTCAACCTAAAAAGGAATCTTGAACCTATTGATTCCTACAGGTCGTCACTTGCCTCCCAAAAATAGAAAATACTATTTTTTAAATTCTCTTTTATCTACAGAATATGTAGATAGGTAGAGACATTTTGAGTCTATTACCTAGGAAATTATCACTGTTGTCATGCTTTATCATGGGCTGATCCAGCATCGACCAACTCTTGAAGTTTTGAATTACATATCTCTATTTTGCTCTAATGATTCAGAAGGATTCTGATGACCTAAACTTGCTAAGACTCTTCCAGGGCAGCCTCCTAAGCCTGTTGACAGGAAGTAGTCATGTCGCCTTCTTGAAAACAAAATTAATACAAACTAAGTTTTTCTGTAAACCATTTTTGTTTCAAGGAACTGATACTTTTTTTTAACCAGAAAAACCCAGCCAGCTCTAACTGTGATGCTTTTTTTGAAAGATTTTTAAAAAATCATCTTATGCTTGAAGGCAGACTAAATCCAAACCTACAACTCATGAAATAGCACTTTGTTTCCCATCCAGACAATGTAAGCAATTTGAATTTTTGTTTCTTTTGGAGAACTCGTTACCCCAGGTGGAGCAACTTATTATCAACATCTTAACCACACCAATATAGATAAGAACTGAAAACACCAGTGAGCAAAACATGATGATCTCAGAAAACATCTTTTGAAACCTTTTTTTAAATAAATAAAACAAGCTTGATTTGCTTAGTAGTTTCTACAAAGCATGAAGTTTAACAAGTCCATCATTTCAAGAACATTTTTAGGAAGAGTTCCAAAAATCATTTTTTTCTTTTGTTTTGGTAAAATTACATTGTAATTCTGCTTCTTTCAATGAACAACATTATTTAACATGAAAACTGATGTATCAGGCAAAGAACAGTTAAATAACTCATTGACAAATTGCAAGCAAGATCACATTCAGACAAAGAAGGAAAGAAATGCACGTGGAAGCATGCTAATAGAACCATTCTGCATTTTCTGTAATGCAGATGAAGTGTTATTATATTTTTGGCTGAAAAAGATAAAAGGTAGGTCTCAGTGCTACTATGCCCACTGTTTCCAGAAAGGTTTTGGCACAGATGGTTTTAGCTCTGCAGATAAGAAAATGCAGAGGCCACCTTAAAAATAAAGTGCTCCCGCCATGTTCAGTTGCCTTATGGATGATTCTGGATTTATCGAGGCTGCAAAGGTGACCCAAAATTTAAGAACCTAAAGCTAGAAGAAACTATTAGATCATCTGGTGATAAAGTCCTATTTAGGAGTCCATGGATAACAAGCCTTTCACCTCAGTTTTTAAGCCTTTGATCTCAGTTTTTGTTTGGTGCCAGCATTAGGGAAATGCACAGACATCTGAATATATCCATCACCTTTTGAAATTTTCATTAGTTGATGCATGAGAATCTGATGCTTTGTTAGGTGGCTTGGCTTTCATGTGCTGAAATTTATGCTGCGTGTTTTTTACAGCTTATTGGAAGTCTAAGGAAATGTGAACAGAACTGTTTTATTTGTAATATACTAGAGGTAAATTCTCAGCTAACTATATAAAATAGGAAAGTTTAACATTCCCCACAGGGTCCATTTTGATACATATTTAATAGACAGTATGGCTATGGAATAAACAAGTATTACTCATCTCCAGGTGGATGGTGAGAAGAAACAGCTGACTAAAACTTTGACCAAGCTAGTGCTCCACAGAGAAGCAGGGTTAATGAAATGAAGGATTCTGAGGCAACTGTCCAATAAAATCATTGGTGAACGTAATCCATCTTGTCAGGTGAGTATAAATATCCACGTGAACGCTGCAAACTGCATATAAGCAAGTTCTTATATATAGTGAGGGGAGTTATCCTTCCCAGCTACCCATGCTGTGAAGTGGAGAATGCTCAGTTTCAGTTGACACTACTTTCTGAGTGCTAAATTTAGGAATAAAAGCTGATATAGGCTTAAGAGATTTCACCTACCACTTTACTCTGAAAAATGCCCTGAAAAATGAGAACACGGTGTCTAAGGGTAACAATGACAAAGAGTGGATTGTTGAGACTCAACGCAAATGTCTTTAGAAATCTTGAGAGAAATGTGAAATTCCAGAGAACTGTCAGATTAAGGAAGGTTTCCTTCTTCCTGCACGCACATACAGGTCTCTAGCACTTGGAGTTGTACTCTTATGGTTTTAACGAGGCACAAAACCCAAGTGCAAGATTCTATAACACCCAGAGGTGAAAGCCTCACAGGTGCTCAAGGAGCCAGATTCACAAAGTGATGAGGAGCTTACTTCTAAGTCTGGTTGTAAGGTGGCCTGAAGTTAGATTTTGGCCATGCTAGAGAAAAAAAAAAAAAAAAAGTCAAAACTTAAACAAATACTAACATTCAACCAAGAAATAAAAACGATGCATAAAGTTGTTAAACAGCCTGAGGCCTTCTGTCATCTTAGCTTCCCTAAATGGAAGAGGGAAGAGATAAAATCAGAAAAACACTAAGAAAAATGAGAATTAGAAAGGTTCCAGAGAATTTTTTCAGTATTGCAGGGAAAATGAGTAATTCACAGCCAATTTAACCAGTCAGTGCAGAGAGACTGCAGATTACATGGCATACCATTCTACATCAGGGATGGATGGCATACAAGGATAGTCTAAACCAGAATATTTCTGGTCAGAATTTTTCTGAGCACTTACAATACACCCACAAGGGGAATCAGCCACAAGCAAGTGAATGTAGAAAAACTGCAGACAATCAAAGAATGTCAGTCAGAAGTGCTGCACTAAATGTCAACATAGGATTCTTCTAATGTAGATTCTTCTAATTTCACTGAATTTGCTTATGGTACGTGTAAAAAAGGCTGAACGTCACAGCTAACACGTAGGTGTTTAATTAGATGTTTCTCTTTTATGCCAAAATACAAATTTTGACAGTCCACCACATGGTAGATGCTCTCTTGGCCCAAGTTTAAAAAGTCCTTTTTTAGTAATTAATTTGTAAAATGTATTTGAATAATAAAAACTGAGTATATAGTTGGATGGTTTACCACAGTCCACACAAAGATGCATTCAATTAAATGTTTTCATATTTTAAGAGCTGAAAAATGCTGGGATTATTTCCTGATCAGAGGAGGGTTTCACTTTTATCCGTATGATGTTTTCAATGGCCTTTCAAATGTAACGGAAACAAAAAGCTCTTGGTAAAAGGAGATACTATTTTCCCTGTGGTTTTGTGAAGCAATTGCTTCCATTTGGTGAATGTGTTTGTTGAAAGGCTGAGAGAAATCCCTCATTACGTCTGCACAACTGTAACCTAAAGTCCAACTCCTAATGTAGAATGAAAGTTCCATAATCGCCTATATAAGTTTACAAAAATATTATTTCTTGGAAAGCCAAGAAGACTCCTCAGCAAACCACATTTTCTTTGGCTCAAATTAATTGGCTGATTTTGCTGGGCTACTTAATAACAATACTTCCAAGTTTCTCCTTGCACTGCTCTGTTTTCACAGTAAGTAAAAAAGCACGGAGATCTCCATCTATTTTGAAATTTGAATCATAGAATATTCTTGACAATGTAATATCATCTTGAGCCTTGCTGAAAATTCCACACCATGTAGTAACAGCTGCTGAGAAAGGCAGAATTGCATGCAACAAATTATTGGGTTAAGGAGTGTATGTAGAAAAAAAAAAAAAAGAAGAAAAAACCAAACGCCCCTGTGGTTCTCAAATATCCTCTTCTATTTGCTTACTTTACCTGCTGTCTTCCCTGTAGGTCCATAATAGCTCAGGGACAGCTGGATTCCATTTTCCAAGGTGGCTGAAAAAGATCCAAACTGGCTCACAGCTTTCTTTTGATTGTTCAGCTTTCCTTTAAAAAAATTAAAATGAATTTTAAAGATGGCAACGCATAGCAGAACCACCTGACCTGCAAACCAATGACTGGTGTGAACAGTGGCACATCAATGTGGATAACTAACCTGTAAAATGTATTAATATAGGACTCGGAAAACTTTATCATTCCATTCATAGGGTAGTACATAACAGTCAGTTTTGTGTAACTTAGCTGTGATTTCTCATCTAGAAATTGCATTCTAATTAGATAGGGTTTGTAAAAACAGGTTTAATAGCAACAACTAGTGAAAAGTCTTTGTGAATTTAAACAGCAAGAAAACTCAGTTCTGGAGTCAAGGATCCTTAATTCTGTTCCCTACTTGGCTTACAAGAATGCTAAACTGCTCATTTCCATCACACACGGACCATGCACTAATATAAGACACTGCCTCTCAGATATTGTCACAGGGACCATGCCTTAAGGAGAAAGTAAAAGAAAGGACAATAAGTTGAGAAATTAAATTGAAAGATGTGTCTGGCATTTGTGAAAGTGGATCAGGAGACAAGCTCACTTAGAGGTGCAGGAGATGTGACAGGAGACAAGCTCACTTAGAGGTGCAGGAGAAGATGTGATATAATGAGAATGTCATCCTTGAAAACCACATGAACTATGCAAGGGAACACCTTTGAGAAAGTGACACTGGAACATACCTTGAGTCTAGTTCAACTCCTGCTGCCTTAAAGAAACGTTTCTGCTGGCAAGAGGAAATCCTTGGGATTTCCAAAATGGGAGAATATCTTCTTAAAACTGTGAGGAGCAACAGAGAAGACTGCAAAAGAAGATTAAGGCAGGCACCCAACACCTGGCCATCTCCCATTTCTTCCATCAACAAGGCACAATGCTGAGACCTCATCTGCTCCTTATTTACTCCATCACTGCAAATTGCATTGTGACTATCACCTGCAGGATGCTGTTTTGCCATTTTGACTGCATTAAATGCTTACCATTGTACCATTCAGCCACTGCCAAGTATCAGAGTGGATTAATTATCTTCTTCCCTACTGCCTTTCTATAAGGTACTCCTGTTTACACAGGAGGAAAGCCTCTAACTTATGCCAAGGGAATACACCTTGCATCAGAGGCTGGCACGCTGGTGACTGAAAGTACCATTTGGTAGACCCCAGAATGATACAAGACTACTTTCAGAAGGGCAGACAAGATCTCATCTGTGGAAGGGATGAAATTTTCTATTCAGATAACCTATGATTACATCACTGGTGGCAGCTGAAGCCAAGAAGAGGAGCAAGAGCAGGATGCTTTCTAACACTGATGAAGATTAAAAGGGCTAACACACCTACGAAAAGTCACACTTTTCCAACACTCTTCAGTTTAGTGACAGCAATAACACAGTGCTTTTAGCAGACATATGCACAAATTGTTACAGACAGGCTTTCTTCTTGGAAACACTCTCACCTGGGTTCAGAAACGATTTTACTTTATGAGTGTTAGCAACACTCAACAGCAGAACCTGCTGAGCTGCAGAAGATCTATTTCCACAGCAAAGGTCTTGAAGAGGCACTAATGCTACAGTCATCTGACCCGCAAAAGGAGGTCCCTCTCAAAGGCAGGCATTTATCCTGGTCACACTGGACATGATTCAGTTTGCATCTTCTTAGGCTTTCCCAAGCCACATTAAGATCTGAAGGAGTCCTTCACTAAAGAAGAAAATTATTTTCTTATTTTCTTAACGAACAGTGTCTCTCTTCATTAATTTCCTTGCTTTGGAAAAGAGACTGGTTTACACCTGTTGTCCTGTACTGTGCTTCGATGTCTTGGTAAGATCTCTCTACATGGCACTTAAGCTGTCCAACTAGATTTTTACTTCTGTATACAGAACACTGACCTTTTTTACCCTCTGCCATTAGTAGGAATTTATTTTCTGTTAGTTATAAGGTTTGCATCCAATTACTAAATATGTCAAACTATTAATTCTTTATATCAGTGATGTCAATTCACTAACCTGATCCAATTCCCTGTTCTTCATTAATTTCTTGCACTTCAATTTCTTTTAGGTTTTCCTCAGGGTCTGTGATGTGAATGAAGAAATTGTGGTTGTCTTTTATCACTTTCACCTTTATCAAAGTTGGACCTGCAAAGCAACAGGATACTATAATTGCTCCCACCAGGCTTCAGAAGTGCCTCCTCCCCACCCCCCACCCCCCGCCCCAAAAAAAAAACAAACAACCAAACCTGCAACTATAAAGCACATAAAAAAGAAAATTGTTCCAAAGTGGACTGAATTCCTTAGTAGTAGACCAAGAAGGTAAAATTAAGGTTAGATGAGTTTAGACTAAGTATTCAGAAACTTCCTGACAATTAGATCCGAGAGGCTGCAGAATAACCCTATTGCTTAAATATTCTTCATTTCTAGTTTTCTGGTACTTTATCTCTCAGTTGTCAACATACCACAGTAAATTGTAAATATTAGTGATAGAGGCTAATATGGAATTGTATGGTACTCTCTCAATGTCTTTAACTGAATTCCTACTTCTGAGACATGAAAAAGCATTTATGGATTAAGAAACTATGCCACCAGTTAGTAACTGAGTCAAAGCAAAGCATAAAGAAGAATCACCTTTTACAAAATCTATCTTCTCTACTTGAATCTGTCCTCCATCAGATGGAAAAAGATATTGATTGGTTCCTGATACTTGAATGAGATCCTCCCCTGTATTGTAGCCAAGAAACTGGAAAAACAAGTTTTAGATTATGTGTAAACGAGAAAGGCAGAAGCTACGAAAAAGGCAAATGAAGGACAGATCCTCAGATAGACCACTGTTCTGGTCAACAGTTTTTGCTTAGATATTTAACTAATGTAGTAACAACTTTAGCAAATATATAGGATGTTATTCTCCTATTGAAATAATTTCTCAGTTACTATGTGAAGTAACTTGTTACACAGGACAGCAGAATCTGATCCTTCAGTGGTATGGCCCATCATGGAAACAGAAGAGTAGAAAGTAGGTTGGTTGCTTAACATATCATGGGAAGGAAACAAAAATTCCAGACAACTGCAAAGAGACAAAGTACATTGTAATGCGATTGGATAAAAGTCAGATAAAGATTCAGCTTTCCACCCTCACAAAATTTCGAATTCAGACACTGTAAATCTGATTCTTAGACTGCTGTGCCTTCCAAAGAGCCAAAAACTGGAAAAATTAGCTGAGTGTACTCAAGTAAATTCATACTGAAATGTTATATATCTCTGAGTTTGAAGTTTGTATGCAAGCAAGGTTAGACTTAAATATATTGACCTACAAGTTTTGGCTATAAGACTCAGACTTTGCAAACATAAAGCAGTGCGAACTGCCTAAAAGCTGTTTGGACACAACTAATGAAGAGTTCCCTCCATAAGAAATATCCCTATGTTAATTGAGTTTGGACACAACTAATGAAGAGTTCCCTCCATAAGAAATATGGACAGGCAGAGTATCTTGTCTTAGGGTACTCCAAGAATGTGAATTTGGAAACAGGAAACAGAAGGAAGAGTGAACTCCTTTTACTTGATTTCCAATGTGGACAGCCAAAACTTCAACTAGATCCAGCAGGCTCCACACATAGCAGTTAGAACAGGTCTTTATGTTCCCCTTTTCTATTGTCTCCCATGAAAATCACATTTTTCAGGGAAAATTAATCCCATAATTATATTTCCATGGGCACAAATTCATGATCATCTTATTGTTGTGTTTATGTCATATACACTAAAAACCATCCAAGTTAATGAAATAGTCTTGTGTAGGATAATCTTAAACATCAGAAATTGCTCTCCAAAACGTTTAAGAAGGGATGTGCTGCTAAAATGATGGAGTTAAATAAGACCTAGTTAGGCTTAATTTGCCTCGAGCTCCACTTTCACAATGGATAATAGCTTTGCTGTAATCATGACTCCATATAAATAATTAGCATTTTCCTGATGTAGTGCAATAATATGATTCCTTACTTTATAAACTTTCTCAGAATGTGGTTCTGGGATGCTGGGATCCTCAAGTTCAGGGCCTTCTGCTGGCTCATCTTTATACTTCTCTTGGGAAGATTTCTTGTTGGAATCGTTACTTTCTTCACTTATTATCTCCTGTTCTTTCTTTTTACCTCCCAACTTTTCTTTTTTTTCTTTTTTTAATTCCTTAAGTAGTTGTTCTTCTAGTAATTGGTCCTGCTCCTTCTTCCAAGCCTACATTAAATGTTAGAAATTCAAATGATTGTGGTTCTATTCATATCAGAAGGTATTTCCTATGTGCATGCTGAAAAGACTACAAATAAACAAACTCAAAAGAACCAATGTTCTAAGTTGCTCACATATTTTCCAAATGTGCCTACAGTTTTTACAATATTACACATTACATTTTGCATAAAATTACTGACTCATTCAGTCCACAGGATCAGTCATTCTTGACCACAGAAGACGTATTAGATGCTTATTTGTATCTTATGCATTCAGTTATAAGAGAATTATTTTTTGTTGTGCGCTTTTCCATAATGTTTATCACCAAATCAGAATGCATCACTGGTATTAGTTTATTCCAAAATTGCAACTGTGAGATCAAATTATTTTATTCTTTTACAGAAAGAAGAATGAGGAACTGATGCTCGAATTACCAACTTGTATCAGGAAGACAAGAGACATCAGAGATTTTCCAGAGTATTTAGGGCTTTGTAGCATCTTATCTAAGCATATCAAAGCACAAGCATTTCTGTGGAAGAAATGGTAAGCATCCACAGTTACCAGTTAGGTATTAGCCTAACTTGAGCCGTGCCAGCTCAAGTTGATTATCCAGGAATTGGTTAACACCACTTTGTATCTACATTCCAGTATCAGTACTTTAAGTGTATAGCATTACACACTATAACAAAAATGAGACATACTATGGCTGTGGAGTCCAAAAAAAGCAGGGGAGTAAAATATCAATTAAGCTACATTTGTGCAGAGTAACAGAAAGTGCCAATGCTAGGACTTACATCATACATGTGTTTAACTCCTACCTCAGCCAGAAACTTACTGTGTGAACTCAGGCAAGTCATTTCATCTGTAGTGGCTGACCATGGTCTACATCTATAAAATGGGATTCTCTGTCATAAGAGAACTCTGAGGTGCCATATTTATACTCCTTAATTTCAAAGGGATGTAGGTAGTGAAGGCAGGAGTTGGGTACATAAGTATTTTATGTTTTTATAGCTTTATAACCAAAAAAATTTCAACGACAAGTTGAAATTTCAATGATACCATCCATAACTCCCATTTCCTAGTACTACTATTATTAATTACTTCAGAACATGGACGTATGTCCGCGTGGGTTGCCCAGGGAGGTGGTTGAGGCCCCATCCCTGGAGATATTCAAGGAGAGGCTCGATGAGGCCCTGGGCAACCTGGTCTAGTTGGGGGTGTCCCTGCTGACTGCGGGGAGGGCGGACTAGATGACCTTTGGAGGTCCCTTCCGGCCTGGGCAATTCTATGATTCTATGATTCTATAACATTTAGTCTAACTCCAAACATTCTTACCTCAATAACATAAATTACATAAGTGCAGAAATAAGGAATAAATTAAAGAAAACATAAAATAAAAGTATACAAAAAAATAGCCAAGAGCTATACCTATATTGAAGAGGAGTCAAGTCTATGGAGGAATGAAGGCTTACCTTCCTGGAACAGCAGTGTTATTAAGTCCATTTCAGAAAAACACATATTTTTGCCTCACCTTTAGAGAGCCTTCTCTGATAAAAGGACTTTTTTCACTTTCTGGAATAGCCTCTGTTATGCTCTCAAGTTCTGACACGCTGCCTTTGAGAAATGAAATGGGGATAAATGAGGTTATAAATATATATGTGAAAATTGAATAATTTGGAAAAATGAAAAAATAAAACAGAAGAAGTGCAAGTAAATAAAAATATCTATTGTAAATAGTAAAAATATAACAGTACAATAAAGAAAATGCTAAATATTTTTGGAGATAAAATAGGAAGACTGTTCATATTAGAAAAAACTTATCTGACAACTAGTATTACTTGATTGTCATAACCGGGGACCAAACATGCTAAACAATATATTGACATATTTAAAGAATGAGTCTCTGCTTCTTGCTATTGAAGGCTTTGCTCCTGCACTAATTTTTTTTTATGGAGATAAGCAATTCTGAATAAACAATAAGCAGTACTTATTATTTTTGCTACCACAGTTCCAAAATTCAGATCTTGTGCTTTAACCAGCTCACCAAACACCAGAACAAGCTCAATAACAGAACTATATATATTACATCCTTTCAAGTAAAAAAAAGTGAGTAAATGCTGTCTGACCCTTCAAACCTTCACTAAAGAAATATTATGTCCCGTTTACTATTAGAGCTTTATAGCATCTATGACTCATGAAAAGAGTATCTCTCTAGGTGTGTTAGTTTTATATCATGCTTGGATACCAAAAATTTACCTGATAGAAAACATTAAAGTACACCATCAGAAACTTCTAGTTAAATTACTTTATATTAAAAAGTAAAAATTGCAGTGTGGACTACAGCAGTGCTAGTGAAATCGAAATCACCTAAAGACACTATTGTCCACCTGCACATCCCAGCTACAGGTGATTATCTTCTTTCAGCAAGCGAACTTCTCTATGAATATCTGTCATGAGGCACCAGATGGGCAAGACTCAGTCTACCTCCTGTGACAGCTACTACATTATTATTTAGAAGCCATAACTGTCCTTTCAGTTTCCAAACTATAATCAGATGCGTTAACTGGGTTGAGGAATAACTTTCCTGTTTTCGCAAATGCTATTTGCTAGTACTAGAAGGTTTCAAAGTGCATTCTCAAAGAAGGTGAACAAAACAAAAGCTAAATATCAACAAATCATTGTTAATGCTATTTAAGTATACAAACAAACAATTCGCACAAAAGGCACTCTTTTGTCAAAAGGCACTTTCAGACTTTACTGCCTGCTCAAGAGTTACTGTATGAACGGCTTACAATTTCCATTATCCAAAATGTTGCTTGTAATTAAAGTTTGCTCTGCAGTCTAGTCAATTCCAATTTCCAGTTTTAGCTTCCAGCCCACAGCTTCTCAGTTCCAGCTTTTATCCTGCCCTTTTATAAAGGAATTTCCTGAAATGTGTCAACAACTTTAACTACTGCTCACTCTTCATATGTTCAGCCATATAAACAGAAATTCGTATTTGTAAGCAATCCTTAAAGTAATTCCATTAAATAAACACAGCTATTGTAAATGTAAATTGACATGAAAGGTGTAATTTTTCAGAACAGAAGACGATGCAGAATATTAAATATATGTACTTAATTAATTTCAAGACATATTTATGTCTATGCTTATGACAAAACAAGGTTACCCTATGAAAAAATAGATGCAATTCTCTGAATAACTTTGGGTCTCAGCGCTCAACACGAAAAAGAATTTTCTAGGGTGTCCTAGAATTTTCTAGGATAAAACAAAAAGATACCCACTTTTGTCTTTCTTAGGGAGGCCAGGTTTTTTGGCAGCACATGAAGACAATGCAAAAGATCCTTCTGCGATGGCTTTTTCCGGTTTAAGAGACTCTATTTCCTTAGCCATCTTCTCTTCCTGGTATTTGGCTTCTTCCTCTTTCACCCAGTCTTCAATTGAGTTGGCCACCAGCTCAAGATAGTTTCTGAAAAGCACAACATTATCTACCATAATACAGTTTTCACTAATACGATTTCAGGTCAACTGGGATCACTTGGCTTCTCAGTTTCTTATACAAATATTATTCTACAACCTTTGAGAGAAGGCTTGTGTTTTACAGGGGTTTGCTCAGTTTTTAGAAGAGCTGGCATTTTTGCCTGGCTGGTATTTGCTTAATATATCTTATGTTTGGGATTTTGGTCCTCCTTTCTGCAAAGATATTAGAAACTTGTCTTCCAAAGAATGCCCACCCTCAAAGAAAATACAGAAAGTCAGAAAACAGAGACATTCAGCTTAAAAAAGGTTGAGACTAATTCTCCTCCTCACTGTTCTATCACCAGGATAACATACTTTCTTAGTTGCTCTTCATTTATATATACACTTAATTTGTTTTATTCAACAATTGAGGAGGTGTTACTCTCTTTAATTCCTAGCTCTTCTTCATCCATGTGCCAAGAAAGGTGCTTGGAAATTGTCATGCAAATGCAGATTAGAGAATCAGTGCACTGTATTCTGGTGTGAATTAAGAATATTCACAATTAACAGTTGAAGTGAGCCAGTTTGCAGCTGGTATCAGTAGTTGCATTGCCTCATCTTCCAAAGGTGTCTGAAATGACTGCTAAAATAGTTCATTGTGAACAACTGCTTCCAAGGTAGGATGAACCCTGTAAGTCTTATATGCAGTTGCCACTCAGCCCCCTGTCTGGAGTGCTACCATAATTAAATTAAATTAATAAATAAATTAATTAAAGTAAAATTCTTCATGTGTGCAAACCTAAAAGGGGCTTTTAAAGAATGCATGAGATTCAGTTGTTGTGTCTTCAATAATGTATTGTATTTAGAAGTTCAAAATTATTCAATTGTATTCAAAAGCTCTATATGCATGACAGTTTTTGGTTGTGAACATGTAGGTGGCATAACCAATTCTTGCCCTCATGAGATTTTTAAAGTTCTTACTGCAGCATTACATTGTATGTCCAAGAGAACTAATATGTAGGGTATCCACACAGACTGGAGACACATAAAGTTCATGTAGAGCTTAAAGATACACGTCTCTCCCAGCTCCTGCAATGTAGGTGGAGCCTACATTTGCATGAAGAAACTGCTGATCATATGCTCCATAGGGACTTTGAGTCCCTACTGCCTGTAGGGACAGAGGTGACTCCGCCTGTATCTGAAGAGAAGTGTAGAGGCTATAAAAACAAAGGTGTTGAAAACAAAAGGCAAAATTAGGCTGCAACCTAGAGTTGCCAGTACTGGAATAACTTGAAGATGAATATACGTTATAAATAAAAAAGAGATTATCCCCGTGGAAAATATTTTAGGGCAATGAAACAGTCATGCAAAGTCAAAAATACACATTCTATTAATATGTATTCTGATGTCACTACTGCCAATGTCTGACTCAGAATCATTTCTCAGAAAGGATTATTCTTTTCCAGTAACTTGTGTAATGTGTTTACTATGAAACAGTAAACAAATGTCATTAAGGTTAAGTTTGAGCAAAAGAATAGTTTTGATGATATCTGAATTTATTTGGCTTCCTGATAGAGTGGCCACTTATCCTAAGCAGAGCTGAAATGTTTTATACACATGTATCACTGCAGGTACGCATGCCCATGCCTTTGGAACCCCTTAGTCAGTAGCATCCATTGGATTTCACATGTAGCCTCCTGTTGCCTGCCCTTTAAACTGCACAATTCCTGAATTTCTGGATGTTCTACATGAACTATGGGACCTGATATCCATAGAGAAGAAGGAAGGGTAACTGGGATCTGCAGAAGCAAAAGCTGCTGCAACATAAGAAATTTAATTTCCCCCTTGCATGAGGATTTTCTGTAAAAGGACGCACTGTAACCAACTGATTAGCAGGTAACAGAAGTATATTCTACACAGCAAGTATGGATCAACCCTACAAAGTGGGACTGTAGTCTCTAAGATGTCACAATAAAGAACTAACAAGTAAGCATAGGTAGAGAACTCCCAACACAGAAATAGCATTTGTTGTGTATTTGTACTTCTCCTGTGGTGAAAATGTGGCTCTCAAATATGTCCCCAAAATGAGAATTATAGTAATTTTAACAAAAGGAAAATCAATATATTGTTACTAAACTCATCAGGAGCCAGTTACTTCATACAAAGGTTTGTGCCTGTTTCTGGCAACTCTGCAGGATCTGGAAGCCAATGCAGGCAACAGCTTCAAGCGCTCCAGGTATTTAAAGACTGTCTTCCACAGAATGTTATGTTGCTTGGACACCCACACTAGCAAATATTTATGATACTTTGTCTGGAAATCTAAATTATCTTTAGCAAAAAGGTTGAATAAGGTCAGAAAATGTGCTGACTATTTTGCAGAGAAAAGGCAGGTATAGATACCACATAACAGAAGCAAGTGAAGTCTTTAAGTTCTTCAAAGATACTAAGTAGCATACATAGCAATGATCTACTTCTATGAAAAAAAAAAACCACAACCCAAAGCCAAACCTTTTTGTTAGCTTTCATGCCAGCTTCTTTAAAGACTCCTTGCTGCTTTGAAACAGAACCCAATGAAGTGTCACTGAACAAAGATGGTGTGCCTCAAGCAGAAGCTATCTTTAATGTCTAAGATTAGTTTCCAGTGGAAGAGTAAGAAGGAGGAAGCATATAGCTATTCCATCCTCAACGGAATTATAATGCATCTACCACAAAACCCGCTTCATTTCTTCTTTGGATGCAAAATTAGCAACTTTTGTTTTGCAGGTATCAAGAGCTCTTCCCATTTCTCAACTGGCCTTGAATTGACGATTTCAATGCCTTTCAAGGTGATGAACCAAATTGCTCTAGGATTCCTTAGATGAAGAGTTGTTCTTTCAAGGAGAAGTGCTTCCTGAGGAGGTCTGGCTCCTCACTATCTGCTTCTAGAGACAACACAACCATAATATGCCATTGGGATGAGGTGTTACTCAGTGTATGTAAACACCACCTTTCACTATCTTTTGGTGAAGATTTCAGCTGTTATATATATGCAAAACAGTTGATTGACTAGACATATAGAGGATTTGCCCAACAACCACACAACAGCCAGCATTTTCCCCAAGAAACTTTCTGCTGTCTGGCTCTGGTCCCAGTCATTGTAATCACAACAGCCTCTCTTCATGGCAAGTAATTTTAAGTTCAAGTGTCTGGAGAGCTGAGATGGACTCACAGAGAATCTCTTGACTGAGAACAAAGATACAAAATACCACACAAAATAATGTCTTCAGGAAGGCACACTTTGCCTACTTAGCATTCAAATCCTGTTTGAATATATAGGTACTAAAAAAATTAACAGATTCCCATATTCTGATAAATTAGGCACTGTACTTAGAAAGGGATGCCTGCAGACAGACTGGGGTGTGTGGGTGTGTTTGTCCACTGGATAATTTGCTTGAAATTCTGTTTGGTAAATCAAATCCAATTTAACCATAGAGCACCAGAGTGACATGGTTAAAGATAGGTCAGCTGTCTCTCCATGGCATTGTAGCTTCTTTACATAACAGTACATGGACACATATTCTATTTTTGTACACTTATTTGGAATAGCAGCTGGATAAACTTCATTTATATCACTGTTTCAGTGCAAAATTGTATTCCGAAATGAACAGGTCCACTGACAAAAGCCTTAACAGTGGATAAATCAACTACTTGCATACCTCTAACTGGTAAGCAGATAGTGACAAGCAATTAAGAAGAATATGGTATTTTGTGAAAAAACTATTCTAATATTAATGAAGGGCTTCTAGCTTTCCTAGAAAAACTTTCCCAGTGACTCCTGACCAATTTGTGTATACATAGTTGAAGAATCTGATAATTAAATTTTTAGACAGATTTTTCTTTTTAACTTCACTCACCTGAAGTGTCCTCAACATAATTTTCTTGATGTGGATATTCCTAATATGACTTTGCATGATGTGTGCATTATATGTATTTTTATAATTTGTAATAAGGAGTCACATATAGTTACTGTATGTTTCTCCTAACTCAGAAAAGCTTTGTCTCAAGAACTCTTTTGATAAAGCACTGTTTTCTACCTGTGTGACTTGATTTCTCATAAATATGTTGCATCTTGGTATCTTTCAATTTCAAAGCTCTGTCCCAAGCATAGTCATGCAGCCTTTAATTGAAAATGACTGTGAATGAGACATGAAAGATAAAACCAATTACCTGAATCCCACATTAGAGTGCAGTGTAACATCCCAAGTCTCTTGGCTCAAACGATAATGATTCATAGGATTGTGAAGAACCATTAGCAAGGAGTTATCTTGAGTATAATAAAAGGAATCAATACATCTATATTCTTGGGATGCGGTATGAAGAACCTGAAAAGGAAAGGAAATCAGGTACATCCTTCCCTGCCGACAGAAGCATATGTACAGATGCTATACAACTTTCAGCAAAAGGTGCTTTAGAACTTCTCTCTTCTACATGATGTATGCAAAGCATTTGGATTCCTGCAATCTGGAGTGTTCAGGCAGGTGGAAACTGAAACTCCACCACTATTTATATTGAGAAGAGGCAGCAATTATGCTCCCTCTTCTGAGGCTGACCATGAATAAAAAAGTTTGGCTAAATAATAAACTAATACATTTAAATATTAAATAAATACTTAAACAAATTCAAATAATACAGTATTTAAATAAATAAATAGCAAATAAAAGCAGAACTATCACATACCAAGTGAAAAGAAAACAAATTTAGTTTTAGCTCAGTTAAGTTTACTTGGCATTCAATTCGCTATATCATAACCTGCACGTCTCTGAGATTTACTATGTTCTACATTATTCCGCTCTGTTCTGTACTGCCCCATCAATTTAAATATTTACATTATCTGCAGGCTGAAACTTATTTTATGGTTATGGCTGGAAGAAAGCCTTCTTTTAAACTATTATTTGTACAAAACTATGCACCTGAAATAAACCTGAAATGATTTTCTATCAATAAATATTCCCTTTAAACGTGAAATCCTTAATATTACCTGATGTAAAAATTACGTTCAGATGTGACATGAAGTATAAGGAAATATTCTTATAAACTTTTATTTTCTGCTGCAATAAAACGTTGTTTTCTGTTGTAGTTATTTTCCATCCATATCTTTTAACTAGCTTCACTAATTATTGACAAATTCAGGTAGTATTAGCTATTTGTGTTGCAGAAGAAGGAATTCCTGATGTACTGAAATGTATGACCAGAACAAAGTGCTGCCAAAAAAGTCCAAGCAGCCTTTCCTTCATCCATGTATAGCATGTGTCAGGAGCAAGTAAGAATTGCAGTTCAAGGCAGCAAAGGAACTAATAATCCACTCCTCCCAGGAGAATGCCTTCCAACTTAAGCAACCTACACTTGAACTTATCTTTCACATTTACGGTTCCATCTTTCTGCAAGATGAGTTTCAGTCTGTAGCTTGTGAGATTTCTATAAATGAAGCCTGTAGCCCTAAAAGGGTGAAGTACATTTACAACAAAATTTTCTATTGCCCATAAAACATATACTGCATAGGTATTTGCAAAATATGTTTTCACATACACTGCACTAACGAGGCCCATAACTGCCAGGGAGGATCACCCCTAAGGGTAAGGTCATTTTATCTCCATCACCCATGTAGCTAAAACACTCACTACCAAAAAGGACAGCTGCAGTTTGGCCAAACTAGGAAATAAAAACCCATTAAAACTATATTTCACAAAAGAAAGTGAAAAGCAGCTAAAGAACAATTAGTTTTAGTACAACTGTAAAAGGGATAAAACTGAGTCAATGATCTAACAACGAAATACTGTACACTCAGCTACTCATTCTTTGTACAGCATTCTGAGAGGTGACCAAGTATAAGATTGTCACAGATACCTGAAGAAGAATATGGGGTTGAAAATGCTCAGCAAAACTCCAGTCTGTCAAACAACGCCTCTGTGTCTTTTTTATTTCTTCTAAGTTTGGTCCTACGCCATCATTTTCCGGACTCTCCTCAAAATACACCAAAACAAAATAATGATTATCAACATTTCAGTGTCAGTTGTATTAAATTAACTGTAACCTTGTTGACTTAATAGACAGCATCCCATGTTGCATCACTGTTAATTGCATAATGCTGCACACGTGTAGACCCGTATGGCACTATTTAACAAAAAACACAATTACTCCCAAAGGTTTTTGGTCTTGGCTTTTTAATAGCAAACATAATCTAAATATTTTTATTATTAGGTTATACGTTTTTGAGTTCTGTAAGCAATTATGAATATTTAAACATGTCCTATGAAGTAATTCTAAAATTGCTATATTTATCCAGGGCTGTATAGCAGGCAGGTGTTTCTGACGATGCCAAACTACATAGTTTATTAGTGTGACACAGTTTGGCAATTTCTCTCAAACTCTCATGCTAGTATTTGACCCCTGGTATTCAGTGAAACCAGCAAAGAATTGTCATTAGTAGTTTCACCAAGACCCATCACCTTAGAATTCAAAGAAAGTGATTTCATAGTGCTTAAAAGTTACGGCACTATTTGCCAAACATCACAAAATCAACATTAGCATTGCAAAGGAATGCCCAGTAACATGCCATGGCATTGAAGAGTATCTTCTGTTGTCTCATGCATTTTGGGCTGTATCAAAAGAAGTGTGGCCAGCGGGTCCAGGGAGGTGATGCTGCTCCTGTACTCTGCTCTCATGAGACCCCAACCTGGAGTACTGTGTCCAGTTCTGGGGCCCCCAACTTAAGAAGTACATGGATCTGTTGAAGCGGGTCCAGAGGAGGGCCATGAAGATGATCAGAGGGCCAGAGCACCTCTCATATGAAGACAGGCTGAGAGAGTAGGGGTTCTTCAGGCTGGAGAAGAGAAGGCTCTGGGGGAGACTTTAGAGCAGCCTTCCAGTACCCTAAAGGGGGTGCACAGAAAAGGTGGAAAGGGACTCCTTACTAGGGAGTGTAGCAATAGGACAAAGGGTAATGGTTATAAAATGGAAGAGGGTAGATTTAGATTAGATACTAGGAAGAAATTCTTTCCTGTGAGGGTGGTGAGGCACTGGAACAGGTTCCCTAGAGAAGCTGTGGATGCCTCATCCCTGGAAGTGTTCAAGGACAGGCTGGATGGGGCTTTGAGCAACCTGGTCTAGTGGGAGGTGTCCCTGCCCATGGCAGGGGGGTTGGAACTTGATGATCTTCAAGGTCCCTTCCAAGTCTAATCATTCTATGATTCTATGCTATAGAGCATATTTTATTCCGTTACTCCCACTTACCATATCAGAAATAAGGAGATCCGATTCTTTTCTCAAAACAGGATCATCCAGACCGTCTTTTCCATCTTTGCCATTTGTTTCTGTATGTTCTGGAAATTGAAAGCAGAATTTTAAGAAGCGTTCCAGAAATTTCAGCACTAAACACTAAAGTTGGAGTGATGCAATTTCCTCAGCCTCCCTGATGAGACTGCTTGCCATCAAGTTGAAGTTTTCTTTTATGACACTAGTTCTATAAATACATGATCATCTCTGCTACACTTCTTTACTAAAAGAGCACTTCAAAATCCAGGGACAAGTGCCAGACAGTTAAATAAAAGAACCCAAACAACTCCAAAAAAAAAAACCACCACCAAACAAACCACTTTGTAAGACCCACTCAAATCATCCTCTTTATCTGTTTTACGCTGGCCTTAAAGTATTTTTAGTGGTTTTGACCCTGCAAGAAGTGTCCTCCAGATTCATACATGAAGAAACATTTTTCTGAGTACTATCCGGGAAACAATAACGAGCATTTCTTTGCTCAGATGACATTAAAAAAGAAGGCAAAATCAAGTGTTTTTACATTTTCACGTATTTTTGAAAAACAGAAATTTTAAACTTAAAATTCATTGGATTTATAGAGTTCTATAAGCTACTGACAGAATATTACTTCTGCTGACCAGTCATTCCATTTTTTCAATGGGCACCTGATATTAACAGGATCATATCTAGACTTTAACTTCTATATTGTTATAATTTTAAAAAATAATTTCCTTTTCACAGAATTCTTTATTCCCTGCGTTAGGACACATACCATTAATATTTGATCAAAATTCACACATATAAGAAAAATTCTCTTCCTGGGAAAAATACTCCAGAAAGTATTTGTTCATAAATGGCTTATAACCAGCTCAGCTTCCAGACATATACCTTTAGCCTCTGCTTTTCTATGAAATTAGACCGGTTTACTGGGTGCCTTTAGAAGATTTCTAAAATCTGAAAGCAAACATTTTTTCTTCCTGATATTTGCTTTTGTGTTGCAAAGGTGTAAAAACATTGGCGGCTATGTTTGTAAATGCAATATTTAGTATTGTGACTAGTATAGAAGTAAAATAACTAACACTCAAATGTTCCCAAAATTCAGAAAAGGCAGATAAGCAGGATTCATTTTTGTCTGCTCCAGCCTTCTAAGGAGAGGATCCTTTCTAAGCCGGTTGCCTGGACATCTACATTAGGAAACCATGGGCAACACCATGAACCTAAAGGTATAGCTGCTTAAACTGACCTAATTTCTAATTGTCTTGAATCCCAGAAAAATAATAACTTGATTTTAATGTTACTTCTTGGCCAACACTGCTCCTTTAATCAGGACAACAATTTTTCATTATGTTAGAATCTGTAGGAGAAAATATAGAACTTTCAGAAAATGTACTCTGCATTGTCTACAAAAGGTCCTCTCGGTCTCTGTTCCTGTTCTCTAAAATATTCCCATTCTAATATGAACGGGACAGTTATAATGGCTTAATTGTGGCTTAGTGCCACATAGTAACCTGCTAAAGACATACTAATTGCACAGAATGGAAATGAAGTAAGAGAAGCTGATGAAGTTGAAACATAGCTCAGACTTTCTTTATCTTTTAATATGAGGGTTTTCACATATTTCTGGCCAAATATAGAGAGAGCTTAATGTGACTATGAAAACTGGATGTTTAACCTTCTGCCTTACGACATCAGTTCTACTATGTTAGTCCTATTCTGATTTCTTTTCATTGGTCTCACTTTCTTAACACCAAATAAATATATTCCTCTTTCCCTGTTACTTCTGAATTTGGCCCAACATTTTGAATGTCAAAACTCTACACTGGATTAACCTCTACGTGAAAGAAGAGGGAAGTGTGGAAGAGAAAATTTAAAAGTAGAAGGTATGTATGCATGTGTAATTACAACGTACAGTGCACCTTTTTTAAGTTTTTAACTTTTTATATCACCTTCTAAAATCCTTGTGTGTACATTATATATTCTTTGCATTTCCTAATACTCACTCAGGAGTATTCATCTAATTAACTTCAAGCATCACTTTTGATTTCACCCTGTGGTTGCTACTGACTTTGTAAAGATTCAGCTGCCATGATAACTCACAAGATCCTGTATTCAGAAAGGTATTTAAGCATGTCTTCAATATTTTATGTCTATAAAATATATTTGATGTCACAAGCAATAAAATAGTTGTCTACTACATGCCTTTCTACAGATATCATTTTAAAGAGTTGCTTAAATAAACTGCTACTGTTGTCATACAAAATAGCTATTTTTTGTGTTTTTCTAGTATTCCTACATAGATACTCAATGTACAGACTACACAATGCTTGAAAATTTGGTGATTTGTACAAGGAAGAAAAATCACGGGCCTGCAATAGCAAATGATATAGTAAAATATAAATAGTGGATTCAAATTCTTCAGGAGTAATGTAAACAGAGAGATTTTTACCAGAGCCTCTTGGAGATTTCCCGTTAAGCTTCTTTTCCATAAGGAAGAGTTGTCTCAGCTGTCTTGCAAACCTGGCTGGATTGTCCCAAGGGATATAAGACACTTCAGAATCACCTCCAGCCATAGATCCAGAGCTCTCCAAGAGACCAGAGTCACTCAGCTCAGTCAGCCTCAGGCTTTCAAAAGTAAACACTCTGAAGGCTCTTTCTACTTCAGCCTGACTCAGAAGTTCTATAAAAGAATTACAATCATTAACTGAAAACATCCTTACAACTCAACAGAAGATAAATAGAAGACACATAAATCAAAGAGCTGGGGCTCTTTAGCCTCAATAAGAGAAGAGAAGACTGAGGGGAGACCTAATCTATGTTTACAAGTTCGTAAAGGGTGGGTTGAAGGATGATGCAGCCAGACTCCTTTAAGTGGTTTCTAGCGATAGGACGAGGGGCAACGGGCACAAGCTGGAACATGGGAAGTTCCACTCAAATACGAGGAAGAACTTCTTTATGGTGAGGGTGACAGAGCACTGGAACAGGCTGCCAAAAGAAGTCATGGAGTCCCCTTCTCTGGAGATTTTCAAGACCCGCCTGGATGGAGTCCTGAGTGATGTGCTCTGGGCAATCCTGCTTTAGCAGGGGAGTTGGACTAGATGATCTCTAGAGGTCCCTTCTAATTCTGTCAAATCCGTGAATCCATGACTATGTAACTGTATTGTTCTTGGCAACTCTGCAAAAGCCAACAACAATTTCCTTAATGGTATTGGATCAAATTGTGTGAGCTACATTTTACACTGCATTAGAAGTTGAATGCTTCCAAATTGCAAAATGATATGCCTAACTATAAATCCATCTTAAATGAAGTGCTTCCTACACCTGAATACCTCCTGGCTCGTTAACTTTATATAAATTGTGTTGATTAAAAATACGGAGTAGACTTTATCAAATCAGTTAACAACTAGTTATTTTCAGTTCATGAAAAGTCTTCCACTATCATAAACTTTTTTATTATCTGTAGCTTCTCAAACCAATTATCTTTTTTTTTTCTCTTCAGACAAAATTTTACCCATAATTTACACACAAGTATGCAAGGTGCAAAGACAATAATAAAACCTAATTATGGTTGTATGCATTGGTGTCCATATAACAATGTAATCACGAGAAGGACTGAATTTTAGGGCAGCTAGTTCAGTGTGCAAATCATACTAACAGCATCTTCAGTTTGAAGTGTTTCCTCTTTATGGTAGTTAAACACCCAAGCACATCACGCACCTTGAAAATGTTGGATATCTCATCTCCTGTTCAAATTAATCACCTTCTTGGTAAAAGTGATGACATTGCTAGCTAAGTTAACAGTTGGGAGAGTTTGGCAGTATGGTATAGTCCAGTGAAGACCATCACATTTGATACCCATCAGCTGGAATGCTATAGCAATACAAAATACCTTAATAGCTTAGTGTCCAAAATGAACATACCAACAACTACAAACAATGCAGTGAGTGTAAAGTAATCCAACACAAGGAATTAGATGACTGAATAGCTAGGAGAGTACCCTCAGATCCTGTATTTTATATGATGGCATAAATGTTACCAAAAGGATTTGGATGTTTATATTTCTTGGTAGCCTAGTGTAAACTTTCAAATACCTAAGGGTATTTCTGTAGTCCTTGGAATTGTTTCACGGTGTATGTCATGGCTGTATGCACACTCCAAGGAAAGGTAACCACAGAAGTGATTATGGTTGAAGAAGTGAATGTATTATTAGTACGATAAAGGGACTATTGTAGAACCCATTACATTATTAACACCAACAGCTTACACAGAATACATTCTGAAAGCCATTTATTGTCCAATAGAAATCTTCTACATGTGCTCCTCCACCAAAAAGGTGTTGGTAAATAAACATACAGTTTATATCAGTGTCTCCCAAAATGCATTCTCTGTCCTAGGATCAAAATCGCAATTTGTACAACTATTTTCCTTGGATTTAGTAAGTGTTTGTATGGTTGTGAATATAAATAATCAAACGAGTTCTAATATACTTCCAGATCTTAGTCATGCAGTATTTAATATTCATATATCCTTTCCCATTAACCATTAAACTGAGGTCTAAAGTTAACACTAACTTGTATAATAGGCTAGGTATAAGCAAGAATGTCAAAATGGGAAATTTTGTGAAGGTTTTAGGCACCTGAAAAAACTTGTCCCCAAATTCCTGCTATTTAAGAGGATTATCAACCAGAAGAAAAACACAGACGTTATATCAATGAAAAAGAAAATCACTTTACCACTGGTACAATAATGCATGAGCTCATGAACTCCAGCCAAGCGTTTAGTGCTCTTTGCAGCTGAAGGAAGGGTGAAATGGGTAAGTTCTGTAAGAGGCAGTTTATCCATCATTTCATGTTCAACTTTTTCCAGATTTAAGTTCCCCTGGACCTGGAACAAAAACCAAAGTACCAGAGTTAAAGTAAACTTTCACACCAGTGGATTTCTAAAAAATATGTTCGAATAAAGAAGTCTTTTTGTAGCATAAGACATAAGCATGTGCTTAAGTCAGTTGGACATAAACTTAAATTTGAGCATGTGCTCACAGTGTGTTTTTGAATCACGATGTCAGATATTTTAGGCAGCAAAAATGAGATACATAAGAGAATAACCAACGGCATAATAAGAGACACTTGTTAAAAGATATTTCCTTGTGCTAGCTAGACTTAAATATTCTGGAATACAGAAATATGTACTGAACATACAGTACAGGCAGCAGGTACCATCCATGTATCTGTCAGCTGGTCTGTGCTACTTCTCATAGAAATGAAGTCTGTAAACTCATGATCTATGACAGCAGCATCCCTATATATTTAAGCATTTATAATTTGAGACTTACTGGTGTCTCTCAGCTTCACTGTTTTTAGTATTACGCACTTACAGTACCTTTCTCTTGGACTCCACCTTCCAAATTTCTTTCCTCTATCCATTCCTCAGACATTGTACTATATTCTGAATTTCCTCTTCTGGAAGTATATCATATACATCAGCATATGGCTGCTAAGAGCATCTCTCAGGGTGACTGCTCAATCCTGCCTTCTGCTTGAATACCTCCATTGCGTCAAGCTTAATTTGCTTCTGAATGCTATTTTTATCAATGGTTGCCAAAGCATTCCACAGATAATTTGTAATTCATGAAGCCAGGCAGACACACCTTAGCTGTAAAATCTAGAACTGTATTATCACTTGTACTACCCTCAGAGTACTTGCAAAGTTTAATGGTAAAAATACAACTTGGCTTCAGAAAAATTTGAGAAATTCACAGTGGTTTTTTTTTAGTTCAGAAAGTCTAGGAACTGTTACTTTGCAATAATTCCAAACGTTGCAGTCTCTCAACCTTTCTGCCTGTGTTAGAATTTGGCAATGTCTTGGTTATACGCTATGCTCCAACTTTTTAGTCAACCTGAATACATTTCCTGTGTTCACTAACAACCTCTATCTTTTCTTATACTTCTCTACATATAAGTATTTAATCTATTCTACATACTAAATCACTGTTACCAAGCTAGTAAGTCATTTTCCATAGTTTCATCAGTGTTTGACTACAGCAAAACAACAGAGCTCTGTAATATCTCTCATCTATGCCAAAGGCTAAACTTTCCTATTAATAATGCAAACGGATCACTGAAATCAAAATAATGCTCTATGCTTCTGATGTGTCCTCTGTCAGCAGCAATAACTCATTGCTTCTTAAGCAGACTAAACATGTTTTAGTGTGTCTATCTCAGTAGGAAAAATCTAGGCTGTACTGTTCTGCTTTGTAAAAACACCACCCCTTCCTTTCTAGTGCAGTGAGTATTCACTGTCTGCAGACTTCAGAACTGTTTATATATGATAGGTAGCACTATACCTTCAGCAGGTGCAACCGCTGAGCCAGGGTATCATGGTAGTTAAATAAGAGAGGGTACTTCAGGGTGACAGTCTTTTTTTCACTGTATTTAGGAGAAAAGTATTCATATAGATTCTGTTAAAAAAGAAAGATGTATTAAACTACAATAATCAGGTTTATTTGTCACTTCAGGAAATGAACAAAAGACAAAACAAACCTTTTTTTCACTCTCAGAAAGGGAAAGAGAAGGAATGACAGAGGCTATATGATCTGCAATGGTATGATGCAGCCCATCTGCCCGAGGCTCTGGTACCACCAGACTAGGTGGTGTAAGGTCTTCTTCACTTGCAATAACCTGGCAAACATGATATATGTTAGCTTTCATTACAGTATGACTGCTGGTTAATTTAATTAAAACTACCAAGAGACCCTGCTATAAGTTAAACACACATCCATATATTTTTTCAGGAAAGAAAACTGTCAACTTTTTCTACCAAGCAGCAAAAATGCAATTCACCATGTTAGCTCCTGCCCGAAACAACAATTATTGGAAACAGAATTAAATCTTTTCTCCTATTATTCACTTTTGGAAAGATGAGAAGAAAATTATTTCCAACTTGAAATGTTAAGAATTGCTAATGAACACAGATAATGAAAAACTGATTGTGTATCAGGTGTTGGACCTTGTTTTGAGGATTTTTGCCTGACTCTATTTTCAGACTAAATTGCAAAAAGTAAAAAAATAAGATTGTGCTGAAATTATAAAAGAAGGAGGCTCTGCTAATGTATATATCATGCCTGAACTCAACAGATGTCAGATCTGTCTAGCGCTAGCATCAATATATGCCACTTTTATGTTAGACTTACCCTAAGACCTTTGTACTGAGTAAACCAGTAAAAGTTCAGTATCAATAACATTGTTACAGGACATGAAAACTCATTATTTACTTAGCTAAAAAATTACACCTTTTTGCTCAATTGATTGTATTGGATCTGTAGTCTTGAAAAAAGAATTTTGGAATAACACTTTATATAAAGGCTAAGTACACAAGAAAGAAGAGAACCAAAGATGTCACTTTTGAATTGTGATTCCTTTGCATTGAACCTCCTTGGTCAGTGCCTCCGTCTCTTATTTTAGGCTGAAACAAATGGAGATTTACTGATTTTTGACCAATTAATATTCCCACCTGTTCCAACATGCAGTTCAGCAGTAAGGGTATAGAAAAGTATTCCTCAGGAATCTGACTCAGCAAGTCATCGTAATACCTCATGTCCACAGAAGTAGTCAAAAAAGAAGCTTCTTCCTCTGTTGTAATAAGAGATAAACATTAAGATTGATTTCTTCAGAAATGACAATTTATATGACTAATCAGTTCAACCTTCAGACAATTTTTCTTACAAAAGACTAACAAGGTCCATTACTGTGGAACTCAAATCTCACTGTGACTGGGAATAGATAGAAAAAGTGATTTTCTAAAGAGCTTAGGTATCACCACTGCAGTTTCCAGAGACTTTCACAATGTATTCACCAAGAAACTCCTCTCACAGCACCAAATCACATCTTGAGCTTACTGAGCAAATAATTTCAAGGATTTGTGCTGTCTGACGAGTGAGTGGTACGACAGAGTGAACAGCTACAGATGAGTGCCTTAATCCTTTAGACATACCCTGTGACAAATTTACTGTTGACGGAATTTCTTCTGCTTGCCCTTTTTTCTTTGAAGGTGTGATCTGTGATGCTGATCGTACCTAAAGGAACAAAAAGAAAGATATAAAAAGCTCAGAAACAGTAGAACAAATTAGCATTGCACAAATAGCTGGGAGAAATTAAGTTCATTTTGCTTTGGTTACTTATCTAGACTAAAGAAACTGATCTTGCATAGATGATTTTTTTTTTTTTTTGATAATTCACAGATTTGCACCAAGACACAATAGCTCTGTGCAGGCATATTGATTTTTCAGATGCAAGAAGGATTTATCAGAAGCGATTTTTACACCCGCGATACCTTATGCCTGTATGATCCTTCAGATTTTCCCTTTTTTGTTTCCTCAATGCTTGGCTATTTTTTTTCCATAAAAATCCCAATTTTATTCACATAAAATTACCCATGGAATGATCATCCAAGGTGAATTTTTGAGTGCAGAATTCAAGACAGGCAGTTCTAGCCTATAACTAGTTATTCTCCATAAGAAGAGGAGCATCCTTGCCTCAGTTACAGGTGGTTGTGTGGACTTGCTCTCTGATAATGCAGGCACATTAATAAACTTGGTGTTTTCCAAGTAGTTAGAATGCTGTCTTCTCCAGTCCAGGCAGTCATACATTAAGCAAGCAATGCTTTCAAACAGCACAGTTCCAAATGCAAGCTATGACAGAAAATCATATACAAAAGATGAAGTTTGCATACAAAAGTGACATGTAACTTAGCCACACGAGTCATTAGCTCTCTAGCTAGCAGATCTACAACTGTTCAAAAATCTTCCAAATAAGATAAAGGAATAATAATAATAATAATAATGATAAAAGGAAGACTAGCAACCGTTATTTTAAATGTGAAATGTTTTTGTACAAATACCAAAACCCTATTTGAGACCACACGCCACTCTGAAGTTTCAGTGGCTTTAATGGACATATTCTTACTCTGCATATCCTAAACATTGTGGAAAAGATGAGATTATTATAATATTTAGATAACGTCAACAGTCCTTTTTTGAGTGAGTTTAACTCTTGTGAAAGTAGGAGAAGTCTCTTGTATTAAGACATTTGCCTCTAACTGGATGTCTCAATTTTAAGTTTCCTAAAATAAAATGTGAAGCACAACTGTCATTAAACACTAGATATACTAACTGAGCCTTAAGCAGTATTAAGCATCTGCTTTCTTCAACTTGGACCCTCTTTATGGCACTTCAAAAAAAGCATCCTAAATCACTGATCAGTTATGGAACACTTGTCTCAGTTTTCATAACATTTAAAGACTAGAGGAGATATTTGGGAGAAAATATCTATTGGTGAAAACAGAATTTTCAGAGTTAATATTATTGCACCTTTGTTTTTCCAATCCAGTACTCTTCTGAAGAATTGGTTAGTATAAAAACCTTCTGTGCGTATATTATTTAAGAGAGACCACTAGAGCACAGGAAAATTTTAATTAAAATACTGGAGTGTTTCGAAAGAACAATCTTTTAAACAAAAGAAGATATTTTACAAAGTTGCAAGTAAAAAAAACCTGGCACTACTCAATGAGACACATGCAAAGTTTAGTATCATTACAATTTTGTGATTCAATTTGCTTGCTTCTCTCTTTTTTTCAGGACAGACACAGATGCTTGTCAAAAGTTTACTGAGTCTAACCATTAGTGACTCTTGAACAATGAAAAATATTTTTGAAAGTATTTTCCTTTCTAAAAATCTGAAATCCGAGACTACTTGCTGTATGTAATATTCTATCATTTTTATATTGATGTCTAAAAAATTTGTCACGATAGTTTTCCTTCTGTATATCTTGGACTTCAGAGATGCAGCAAGCTAGGATTCAGAGACTCTCCAGCAAGTGCACCAGAACAGACTTACTCTATCCACCTATGATTTCAAAACTTATATTCTTACCATCTGTCTCTTTAAAAACTTACACATGTTCCTCTTTCTTTAGAGCTCTGCTGAATTCTGAGATACAGAAGAATGTGGAATTACAACTAAAAGCTGCTGAAACACTTTCAGTGACAGATCATTTTTCTTTTATTTCAGCTATAATATAGATGCTTGTAGGATATTCATGAATAGCAACAGTCCCCTATAAGATGTGATTATTGGGAAGATATGCAAGATAAAAAACTTCTTTCCGAAAATAGGCTTCATATTTTAAGATTAGATCACAAATACAATGATATGTAATGTTGTGAATAGCAAGCCTACACATTCCATAATTGAGACATTTTTAGTGAATGCTTTGGAAACCACTGTAGATTTAGCCAAACTCAATTCTGATCCCTCCAGAACCAAAGGTTCCCTCCAGGTCCAAAGGAACTTCCTAGTTTACCAGACTGTCTGTATACAGGACTTATTGTACTCTAAATAAAGTTTAGGAGGATGTAGTTTGTCCTTTAACCCTAATAATATAGACCACAAATACAGTAGGTTAAATTATGCCATGTTGCTTTATTTTGCTTTAGCAGTTTGCATTTTTTACTGCTGCTATTGTGGACTGAAACCCCTTTACCTCACTGTACTTGAGAATCTAGGCCGGACAAAATTTCTAATGGTTCACTTTCTCTTGCAGTGCCTGGTAATAGTCCTGAGTCATCAGGCTATAATTAGTAATAAGCCAGATCCATATTTCTGGTTGGACAATAAAAAGCAATAGTGGGTATGCTAAAATATCACAAAGTGTTCTTACATTCATTTTCATTTGTTCTCATGTGACTGTTCTGAGATACAGTAAGTAGACCTGCTGTTATGAGGACAAAAATACAACTTTTGTGTTATTTCATACAGACATCTGACTCTCTGACAAGCTCCAACTTGGGTCTATGTAAAGATGCTTAACAAATTTAATGCCTCAAATTATTTTAAAATTCTGCTGTTCTAGCCTACAATATTAAGAAACCCCAAGTCAGATATTTTTATTCAAAGAACTCCTTGTGAATACAAGCTGAATAAACTTGTTGGCTACATAGGAAATAATTTTTATTCAAGATTACAAATATACTAACTACTCTGGTTGTTTCATAGAAGACTAAGCTAAAATTCCTGTCATTTCTAAATTGGTCTTAAACGTTATAAATCCCAAAGCATGCCATGCCTTGTGAAAGCAGAATCTACTGACCAGCATTTCTCTATCAGACCAATCCGGAGGAAAGTCACTCTCCTTAACTACGTGATGAAGTCTAGCAATATCAAAGAGACTTGATCCATGCTTTCCACTGTTCAGAACTGGCTCCAGGTATTTCCAAAATGTTTCCAGGTCTTTGATAGCTTCATCCTTCTTTGTTTCCTCTGCTTCTACAACTAAAATGTGTAAGTATTATTTCAATAATGGTATAATGTCTCCCTTTTACACAAAGCGCAAGTCATATATTAGTCTTAGGTAGTATGCACAAAACACAAGGCATGGGGAGGGAGAAAAACACAGCAAGAACAGTCTTTACTTGGATATAAAATAGTCTCTTTTCTACACAATTTTTTTCACATGACCAGATTACCTGTGGGTGAAAGGAAAGATTCTCCTTCAAGTTTAGTTGCTTCCAAGTACGCTTGCAAGGGCTGATACTTCTCGGAAGAAATTCTAATTATACTTGAAATGTTAATCCCAAGCTCAAGCATCACAGGCAACAGCTGAAGGTTGTGGAAATCCAAAATTATAAAGTAATGATGGGCACCATCATCTGGTTCATCATCTGTTCAAAACACAGTAAAACCAGGTTAGAGCAAGCACATTCAACAGCTAAACAAAATTCAGTTTTTTCTTGACTATATAGGGATACTACAAATTAAGGTCAGAGAAACAGTTCCTTTTATAACTTCATTGGGACAACTACATACAAGCTTCAAGATATTATGTGCATTAGACTGAAGTCTTCTGTAGCAAACCACCAAGAACTCAGCAGGAAGAATACAAGTTAGAAGTAATAATTGTTTCATGAAGCACTAGGAGAAAAACTGGAGAAGGTGATTATAACCAGAATGCAGCATTTCTGTAACTGTTTCTCTTTAAGGAGGAGTTTAGTGTCAGGACATAAATGGTCTAATGGTAGTTTAAGCTATCCTATTTCATCCTGCATAATGCTGCACACACAGAGTAAGTTATTGTGTCTTAGATGAGAGATTACATTAGCTGTAATAACTCTGATGGATTAGCTGCAGGTACAAGCTGACTCACTGCTGACTGCTCCCTGCCCAACAGGGTCAATGTTTGCTAGATGGACTCCCTGTCAAAATCCTCATCAGCTGGCAATACCAGCTCATGCTAGTCCTTTTAGTTGGCAAGGAGCATATCCAAATCCATCCTAAAGTGCAGATGAGAAGTGTCATTGAGTGCCTGCTCTGTTCAGGCTTATTAGTTCTGTAGAAATATGCACAGCAACATTTCAGTACCAAAGCATAAGGTTAAGCATCACGTAAGTAAAAATGAGCCCTCTAAGAAGCTGCATTCTAGTCTTAAGTTAACTGCATAGATTCCCTTTATGGCCCACGGAGAAATACAGGTATTCAGATAGGCATCTGGTTATTTAATTCATCCAGCATTATTATTTAACTGGAGACAACTGAAACTGCTCCCTGAAGCTCCTGTATCTTTCATCAACTCTGGAACGCATACAATTAGTGCAGACTAACAGTAAAACACAGTTTTATACTCTATTTAGCATTAAGATTTTCTTATGCCTACTAACACAACACACTTAAAAGTCCACTTAGCTCATGGGACTCCTGCATCAAAAGGAGAAAAAAAGGGTAGAAAAAAAGGTAGCCTGGCACTGACATCTGCCTGTGCTCAGGTATATAGCCAGACCTGTGCAAATGCTGCTACCACCTGGAGCAGCAAGCTGGCAACATGATTGTCTCTCCTGTCCTTGTAACATTAGGTAAACATAAAAACTTAGGAATTTGGAGAAAGAATGACTGAGGAAGCAGCTATGACAGTGCAGTACATAAAATGCATTAAAGCAAAATCAAAACCAGAGGAAAACTAGTCAATCATATCACTGATAGTACTGAAACTAAATTACATATTTTGATGCCTCAGTTATTGCAGGAAGAAAAAGCACGAGCACGTACAATTATTGAGCATTAATGATTTCTAACAAAAAAGATAAATGATATCTGCAAGTGACTTACAGAGACCCAAAAATTCCAACGCATACATGCTGAAGAGAAGACTGCCTGCCATTCAACAGTTATGATTATGCTAATAATCATGACAAGTAGAAAATGATCAGTCAGTTCTCATAATCAGTGTTTAGTTCATACTCAAATCATGAAAGACATAAATTCAAGTAATCTCAAGATTACTCAAAAGCAGAAATATTCCATTTCAGGAAGGCGATGACGTACTAGGGATGAAGGATAAAATGACTGTTAGCTACCAGAAACAGATACAGATTGTCTCTGAATTCAAGACATGGTCATATAAAATCAATAGCTCAGATTACTCTTGAGTAAAGTTTGTGACATTTTTCTCCATATTTTTTTTTTTTGTTGCTTGGTACAGCTACATTAAAACAAAAATATACAGTGAAGGTTTAGATTATTAGGTATTAGGAAAATATTCTTCCATGACGGGGTTGTCAAGCATTGGAACAGGATGCCCAGGGAAGTGGTTGAGTCACCATTCCTCGGAGGTTTTTAAGACGTGCAGATGTGGTGCTGAAGGACATGGTCTAGTGGTGGACTTGGTTGCCCAGGGAAGTGGTTGAGTCACCATTCCTCGGAGGTTTTTAAGACGTGCAGATGTGGTGCTGAAGGACATGGTCTAGTGGTGGACTTGGTAGTTGATGATCTTAAAGGTCTTTTCCAACCTAAATGATTCTGTGATTCTATTAGATTGGCCAAGAGTGCTGAAATTTTTTTTTCACTGTGTCAACCTTAATGATCACACAAGGTTATTTTTTAAAAATCTTCATGCATATTCCATACTTTATAAAGTACTATATTCTCAGTAGAAAAGTTTCATAGACCTACATGTTTTTGACACTGAGAAATGGCGTTGGCACCACTTTGTCCCAAGACACAAAACAAAGCTTTAGCATGAGGTCCTTGATTGCCATGTTCTTGAAGAAAGATAGAAAATCCTGACACAGGTGCTTCACCACACTTAATTTTATTTAGAATAGTCTCCAGAAGTTTTGGCAATACTTGACTTAATTTTCTCTTGGTATGGACTTCTAGGTGAAACTGCCAGGAAGAAGGAAGAAATTATTACCTCTCCATAAAACAACAGTTATGGTTTTCCTGCAGCCTACGGTGAAGGATTTGAGGGGTGCTGTCCTTCTTAGGGCTATAGGTTCCTCCCCACTGTCTTCTTCAGCATGACTAAGGAAGTAGCAAGGTCAGGTTACCTTTCCCATTGTTAGGTAGTTCCTTATTGTCTTCAGACTGGAAACTGATCCGCTGAATACAATTTTTTTTTGTATGAGTCGGAATCAATTTGTTTATTATTAAGCCCAACCGTGTGGATGCACAATGAATGTGGCGAGTTGTGCAGAATAGCTTCAGCTCAGTACAGTCATGACTACAAAATTAAATACAGCACAAGTGACCAAGTAGAAAACACCTCAATATCTTCTCCTTTGAGGTAATCTGCAACTAATTCTATTTTGTAAATATCCTTGAGACTAATGAGACAAATCCCAGTCAATAAAAATCATAGTTTAACAGCAGTGGTAATAGTTCATAATATAAAGCTACTAAGCATACTAAACAAGGATACTTTTCCTGGCTGTTAGTTTTTGAAGGTAATTTGTGTTTTCCTTACTTTGTCTTCTCATTAACTGTGACTAACAAGGCAGCAGAGAATGGATATCTTATACAGGTACCTAATGTTTTCTGCCCATCCCTGAAGGCAATAGGGAGCAAAAATGTTAGAGCTGGTAAAATTGTTCCTATGGGGCCACGTGGAAGCATTTTACTACCCACCCAAAGCCACTCTGTACTGTATACTCTGTAGCAATATTAGTAAGATGGCATGAGTTCTATACATCAATTCAGCTTGGATTCTTAAAAGCGTGAATGTTTCTTTCAACACTTTTTTCAGGCCCTAAAAAACCTTAAAATCATCAAAAGAATTATGTTGTCACCAAGCCTTATCTGAAAAAAACGAAGAGCTATGCACACATAGCTACTGTTCTGTTCTTGCGTGCTTGCTTCATTAAGATTCAGACTTTCTCTAAACACCTGGACTGATGCTTTTTAGATGCTTCAGGAGTGTCATTGATCTTGAATGAGATGCTGATGAAGGTCTGATGAAGGAGTGAGGAAAGCCTGCTGCAGTTCAAGTAGGGAATAGCAGGTACACATGATGCATCCGAAAACCAGCAAGTGCTTCTCCAGTGGGACAGATCCTGTTTATGTTGATGTAGCTCAAACATATTCTGGTCCAAATTAAATATAACTATGATCTAAGAGGAGAGATATACATAATCTCCAATATTTTTTGTTCCAGTGAAATTTGTAACCATGTATGCTATGTATTAGGAATAAAGATTTTCTCAGTACTAGTTAGCATATTATTCTTTACCTCATATAGCTCATTTCTGGAGTATATTTCTTCAGGTCTCAGTTCTATCCGCATGTTTTGACAGCAAATGAAATCACATTGCCCTTTGTACAGAACCTGGCTTCATCCCCAGACAATGGTAGAGAGCTCTGTTATAGTTTATAATACAAGGAGAAAGCCACCTTTGGATACTGACACAAATACATTTAGTTATTCCAAAATATTTCTGTAAGAAAGGTTTTCTGCAGGATTTGTTTAGCCACTTTCTTTTAGTCTTACATATGCCAAAACATTTTAATGTTGACATGCTACATATACTTCATCTGTATTCTATTTCTTGGACTTCATAGTCTATCCTAATACTGAGCAGAACACAGTGCCCTCTTCAAATGCAAAGTGGTAATACTTTAATACTGCCAAATAGATCTTGCTCCTTCAACATGGAACAAAACAAAATATGCAGTTAGAAGCTACCTTGCAAGATTTCTAGCAAGTTTATCAGGGTATATTTGCATTTTTTACATACCGATGTATTTGTCTTCCTCTTCCACTTCTCCTCGTCTCTTCAACTGGGTGTCCTTTTTAATGGCAACTGGTGCTACTTCTGTCTTTTTTTCTTTCTTTTCCTTCTCAACTGTCTTGGCATGAAGGTTCTCCTTCTTGCCAGGAGGTTTATCTTTCTCTTTCCCTCCATGTTTTTCCTTTTGTTGCTCTTCTTCTGCCTGACAAGATGAATAAATTAAGTTTTCATTGTAGCCTTTGCGCAGAACAAAGGGCAGACTCCTTTAAAATTTTAGTGGTTCAATTTTGTTATTTGAATGCTTTTTCCTCTCAACCACTATAATGTTGGTGGTGTGAAGCTTTCTTGAACATTCTGCTTTATCCTTCTCAAACACACCATTCAGTTTATTATATTCTTACTAAATATAAGGACTGAAGGGAAGTAAGACAAAATTCAATTTCTGTTAAGTTTTTAGCATCTCTGTTAACACTCTTGAGTAGGGTGTAAAATTGTACCAGCACTATTTTTCTTTGATGTAAATATCTGTCTACCATAAACTAGAACCAAGAGTCTTGTGCTCATTTCACACAGGATATTACTCAGCCATTCTCATTATTTTCAAACAAAAACACCTACATTAAGCTCTGCTCAGTAATTTAAGAGGAAAGAATGAAAAAAGATTTTGTAAGTATCCCAAAGCCTCACACTATAAATCCAGAAAGCTCAGAGTCAGCCTAAAATTAAAATAATCCATAATATATTAAAGTGAGGCACTGTAAGAGTAAGAAAGCCTCCACCTTATTTCTACCCAGCAGCAGTACTATGTACTAACTATGCAAGAATGGCATTTAAGGATTGTAAAGCTAAATTTAATACAATAAAACAATATTAACTTGACTTACTGTTACCATCCTGAGTGTGTCACTTTAAAGGCTATTAAAGCAAGGAGAAAATCTCTCCATACAAATGAGATAGGGCAGTTGCTTTCCCTAGATCCACCTGGGAAAGCAGACTTTCCAGCTGTAGTAATTGTGTTTAGTTCAGGTTCAAAACCAAATCAGAAATTTTTTTCCTGCTTTTCCCTTCTTCATGAATTTCCTTTCTGTAAAATTTAGAAATGTCTTCAAGAGATTCTTAAAACTATTTGTGCTATGAAATGGAGGATTTGTATCTTTTCATTATTTTCTTTCAAGTTTATTACACCTTGGACATTTCAAACCAAAGACTTTGATAGTACTACTTTGAATTCTAAGCTGATCATCAAAACAGATGACACAATCATCAGGCTGTGAAGTTCACAATCAGCTTTATCTATTGTGCCTGCATCATTTTATGTAATTAAGTCTCAAAGAAGCAGAACTTGCCAAGATTCCAACAAAGAACACTAGGTGACCTTAATGCCTCAAGAGGTAAAAGGTCTCCTTTCTAAGACTCTTTCATTTTCCTCTCAATGTCGTATTTCTCCTTCCCTACAAGGTGCAGCTTTTCGTGGAGTTTCTAATCTTCCAATAGCTTTACATTCTGTAATTTTGTTATTTTAAGCTTCATATTACAGAATATAACTACCTCAAACAGTTTTCTAATTCAGAGACACTTCTCTTCTGCATAATAATTTAAATGCATGCACCTGCCAATTTATGACAACCTTCTCCTCCTAATGAAATAATGGAGTTTTTTTTGTTTATTCACTTGCTGGTTTTCTTCTGCCAATCCATTCTATTAATTGGTGTCTATTGCAAAAAACAATGGACACTTATGTCAGCTTTCTGAGAACAGATCTGCTAGTAAAATCCGGGTTTCAACCCCTGGATTAAAAATTTTATGCCAGACAATTTAGAGTTAGAATTCTAAATTAAAAGCCAGTTTCTGCCCATTCTATACTGCAGAGCATCCCCATGGCCAACAGCCTTCCCCTCTTTGCCTTCAACTGCTGTTCTCATGTTTGCCTGTCACGCTTTGATACAGATACAATCCAGAGGATGTGACAACTTCTCCAGATTGCTTGGCTAAAACAGAGAAGAAATTGTAAGTTTCAGAGATTCTTCAACCTTCAATACTGACTATCTATACTAGCCATTTTTTCACCCTTCACTATAAGGAAAATCTGCTCTATAGGTTCAACCTCTCAGTTTCTCTTCAGATTGAAAATGCCTTTTTTTTTTCCTCAGATAATTCACATATTTCTGTGGTTTATATTAGCATTTGCTAACCAATTTTGCAATTGACTTCTGTGGGAACAGGATGCAACTTTAATTTATCACCTAGCATTTAATGTTCTTCTGCTTCAACCACCAGTTATTCCCACAAATAGAATTATTGATAAAGGAATTTGCAGACTTTTTAACTACACAAAAATCCATGAAAAATATTTTCTTTGTGCATCTCTTACATGCCTAGAATGCTTAGTCTCCGTGTCATCACATCTTACATTATAGCTTTTGATCGACTAACAGGGTAAACTATTGCAGTAATTATATGACTTTCTGATAATGGTCTTCAGCTGCATGAATGTTTGTTGGAAAAGGACTATAGCAAAGACCAACCGCTCAGTAAGATTTTTTTTTTTTTTTTAATTACAGATGCTAGAAAGCAATTAGAGATCTGGTCTGATTGCGATTCTGTGCAAGCTTGGTGAAATTCCTCCTGGAACACATAAGCAATCTGATTGAGGCAATCTTGGAGCTAGCAGAGACAATCTTGGAGAATATGTGAAAGACAGTTTTGGGAACACTGGAAAATGTGGTACCCAGTTCTGAGAAGCAGACTTTAAGATATGAACTATTTGGAGAGAATTCAGAGGACAGGAACAGGCATAATCAGAAACTAGAAATCAGGACATATATTTGGATCTGTTCAGTTAAATGTAATAGATTTTTGCAGAAGCGAGGGTAAGGACTGTTGTCTCCATACACAGTGAGAAGCAAAGCAGTCATTTACTGTCATTTGAATCAGAGCAGGGCTGATAATGTTAGAAACCTTTTCCAAATGACTACATTGCAGAGACAGCTGAGTAGTAATACTGATCACTGCAGAAAAATTAAAGCACAGCAGTGGAAGGTTTTAAGAAGAGGTTCAACAAACATCTGCCAGCAATAATTTATCTAGATTTTATCCTGCCTTAGTGCCGAACGGTGGAATAGGTAACTTCTCCAAACTTCCTCCAGAGAGGTGATTCATAATAACTTCTTCATAGTGCTGCTTTGCATCTGTCCTTGATACCTCTCAAGTAATAACTTCTCCTACCCTTAATTCAGCAGAGATATACTGAGCTGTAGACAGTCTCTAGCTCTATTTTCTATTGGTCTTAAGACCTAGCTAAGACAGTTTTCGCTCTAGCACAGAGTTCTTGCACAATGCTGTTTTCTTTTCTTTTTTTTTTCCTTTTTTTTTTTTTTTCTTTTTTTTTCCTTTTTTTTTTTTTTTCTTTTTTTTTCCTTTTTTTTTTTTTTTCTTTTTTTTTCCTTTTTTTTTTTTTTTCTTTTTTTTTCCTTTTTTTTTTTTTTTCTTTTTTTTTCCTTTTTTTTTTTTTTTCTTTTTTTTTCCTTTTTTTTTTTTTTTCTTTTTTTTTCCTTTTTTTTTTTTTTTCTTTTTTTTTCCTTTTTTTTTTTTTTTCTTTTTTTTTCCTTTTTTTTTTTTTTTCTTTTTTTTTCCTTTTTTTTTTTTTTTCTTTTTTTTTCCTTTTTTTTTTTTTTTCTTTTTTTTTCCTTTTTTTTTTTTTTTCTTTTTTTTTCCTTTTTTTTTTTTTTTCTTTTTTTTTCCTTTTTTTTTTTTTTTCTTTTTTTTTCCTTTTTTTTTTTTTTTCTTTTTTTTTCCTTTTTTTTTTTTTTTCTTTTTTTTTCCTTTTTTTTTTTTTTTCTTTTTTTTTCCTTTTTTTTTTTTTTTCTTTTTTTTTCCTTTTTTTTTTTTTTTCTTTTTTTTTCCTTTTTTTTTTTTTTTCTTTTTTTTTCCTTTTTTTTTTTTTTTCTTTTTTTTTCCTTTTTTTTTTTTTTTCTTTTTTTTTCCTTTTTTTTTTTTTTTCTTTTTCATTTTCCCCCTATCTTACCTGCATTTGAATAATTGAGAGCTGAATTTATGGAATCTGCACAAGAAAAGAAGTGTCTTCATACAGTTAATTAAGCATCCTCCCTAACACATACTATAGTACCTTCTTTTCAGCTTCTCTTCTCTGAAGGTCCTTCTGTTTGAGACAAAGCAGTTGAAATTTCAACAGCTTTCCAATTAGTGTTACAGGAATTTCTTCCCCCCTATCCAGAATAGCTTTGGCTACTTCTATCACCTGCAGAGAAAAAAAAAAACCAACCCAAAATAACTATTACTTATATAGTTTTAGTATTGAATTTGACACATATTTTGCATGGTGAAATGAGGAAGTGCTGTCTCACATTGTACAATGCACTGGTCAAAATGATCACACTTTCAGAAAAACATCATCTCAGTAAAATGTATAGCTATTCTTTGGTTCCTAAGACCTCAGATGAAGTTATATCTACTAGAGTATGAGATAAAACCAGAATGGAGAAAACTTTTATTATTTATGTAAAGGTCAGCAGACACACAGTTCTCACAGCAAAGCATCATTTTTTTAGGCTTTAAACAAAGAAATGATATTAAGCAACTTCTTATTATACAGTAATAAATTAAAAAGCATTTAACAGATAGCAAATAAAGCGTTTAACAGACAGCAAAGCAAGTGGAACAGTTTGGAGTACTGTTTACAAATTGACTAGTGTCTGAGGCACTAGCCCTGAATGAAAGATAAAAACTTCTTGAAGGGAATTTGAGAGGGTCTGTCTTGGCGAAAATACACCCCCTCCCTGTGTAATTCTGATTCTGTTGGTATGCAGACTAATTGGGGTGAAATAAGGCTATTGAGTTTTCTTAGGGTGATGACAGCAGCGGGAACATACAGCTGCATTGTCCAGATGTGTGGCATTGACAGGCTGTTTTATGACTATGTTTTTTACAGCTTGTTTCCACTAAATTTCATACAACTCACTAACATCTGGGCCGTTTTCCTTGGAGCCTCATAACCACTTTATTTACTGCGAAAAAAATAAAATAACATAAAAATACCATAAAAAGTTGTTATATGTTTCTTTTCACTCGCGTTGTCTCTGTAATAAAGTTCACCTATGTAGGAAGCGCTGTTGAGGAATAATATAACCATAATATTTTCCTACTTTTGTTTTTAAGCAACCATCAGCTTTATTTATAACCATGGGCTGAATTAGGTGTTACTCAAATGTTCTGACATGTTTCTCTTTTCCCCTCTTGGAGCAATTACAGTTGGGCACATATGGTGTCAATTTTGCTTGCTAACATTCAGACAATGAAGGTGCACACTGCATCTCACTGAACTGTGTCTTGTCTAATGCAAACACCACCATTAGCTTTGAGCTTTCCTAGCTTCTGGCCCGGCTTAGAAATTTTTACTTCTCGAGTAAAACCTAGGTAAGCAAATGTAGCCACTAAAAATGCTTCTCTGAATAAAACAAAGCCAAAATAGAATCAAGGTTACTATATTCTGAATTATTGTTTCATACAAATGGAAGCAAAGTACAGAAAAAGAAATCTCTCAGCATTCAGATGTGTTCTGAATCGCACACAGCGAGACAAAATAACAAATATGTTTGCATTTATAAACCCTCCCAAAGCAATCCTGCCCCTCCAACACTATTAAACCTGATGATCTCCTTAACATACACACACAAAAATAATCATGGCTCAGAACAGTTCTCCTTTACATCTTTCATATTCAGAATAACACTACTTACTGGTCACTACCTCAGCAAGTCAACCATAGAAAGCTTCTGGGAAGACTCCCTTTGACTTCAGAGGTATGGCACAAAATCAAGGATATTTTAAGAACAGACTCAAAAACTCCCACAGACTGTAATCAAGATAGAAACCACTAGCCCTTCCAACAAAAAATAGTCACCCAGAGATAGCTACACAAACCTTTGCTCTGAAAGAGAGAGACTTTGGTAGACACATCATAGTAATAGCCCTTAGAAAGAAAAATTCTCATATAGGGTTGGTTGTTTTTTTTTTTTTTTTGTAGAAGTGGTGTTAACAGCCTATAGAAAGGGATGCTTCCCAATTGCCTAATCTAGATGAGTTGCACATTTCTTGAAACACAATAGAGGGGAAACAGAGGGATTCTGGAAGGATTCCTGAAAAGTGTATATATAGTAACCCAGCTCGATGGCAGTTTCTGATTTATTGTTCATGGAAGAAGGAAGGAATGCTCAGACTCTTTTACAACCCATTCTTCCTGAGAAGTTCAAGCATTTTACCAGTCAAAAGCAATGTATCATGATTATTCCTATTTTGTAGATAGAGAATGAAGAAATGAAGGGACTTGTCCAAGGTCTATAGTGAGCCGGACAACTCTGAGGGGGTGCAAAGGACAAATTTTCTTATGTGAGGTATTAGAGAAGTACAAACCAAACTATTTAACAGGAGTACAGTCCATGACTGTGGAGAGGTCAGACAAATAAGACAAAGATAAAATGAGCACACTACATTTGGCAATATAAAGGAAGCAAATAGTTTTTCATACAGCAATGCAAAAATCTGCTTTATGCATAAGCAAATAAGAAACAGTCCTTCATAACTGCTAGTTTAAAGACAGAACATAGATCAGTCCATGCACAGTAGATAAAAGAAACTAAACTTATTACACTTATGCATGTTTACTTCATCTGTTGTCCTGTGAATTATGCAGGCACCTGGCATAAACAGTTAAAAATCCATGGAGCCTCAATTAAAAAAAAAAAAAAAAGCTGAAGACAAAGACTTGGTAGGAGTACAGAAGGAATTTTTTGGGATACTACGAAGTGGATTCATTTCAGATTGGCTATACTTCATCCCGCCAGTGATGACCTTTTTCTTATGTGAGAAACCATGGAAACTTGGATGGACAAACTCGGTTAGGTAGGGCCCCTTTTCCTTTAAAGGAAGAGGAAACTTAGCATTCCTCACACAGCAGGGGTCACATTTGCGAAGTGCAGAAAGGCTTCAGTGATGCAGTATTTGATCTCATATGGTGGCAGTATGAACCACGCAGAGATTTAGCTGCCTGGTGCAAGGGGCATGTATTTTAAGCTATTCAAACACTGCACGAGTGCTTGTAAGTGACACTATACTAGTGGCAGATGCCAGTGCCACTGAGACAGGAGACGTGTCTCAAAGTTAGGGAAACATTTAAAGCCAGAGTCTTTACGGTATCTTTCTTTGAAAGGCCTCTTTTTCAATATACAGAACCATTGGCCTCTTTTTCAATATACAGAACCACTGTGGCTGCTAGATCTTCATCAGAGTAGCTTTCAGAGTGATAAATTGCATTATCAACTTTCACAGCTTTGTCACTGCTTGGAAGCAGTAGCATCACTTGCTATGAGCAGTGGTCAGCTCACTTCACAGTGCAGTTCTCCCATACCCAGGACAAGCCTTCTAAAGCCCTGTTTTCTCCCTTGTTCTTGAAATTGTAAGAAATGCAGGCCATCGCATACACCTCAGACTTACATAACGCTTCCTAAAAGAAACATAATAGTTTGTAGAACTCCTCAGTCATTCAAATCCCTTAGTAGCTGACAGAGTTCAAGCCAATTTGAAGCAGGAGAGTCATCAGTCAAGAGGCTAAACGAATGACATGTACCAGCCAAGTCATTATTTACTATTCAAATGTATTTTCCTGAGCAAGCTAATAAAACAACAGAAAAGTGATCTTCACTTATTACAATCTGCCATCAGTATCGTGATCCCCTCTTGAGCAGCTTTCAAGACAAACTAGGGAACAAAAACTGCGTGTGTCATACTGATAAATTTCTTGTGTCCGAAGACTTCTTTACAAATACTATTTCTGAATCTGCTGATGTCATTTCATTGACTAAAGCATACTACGATCAATCATTTTGAAAGAATACTAGGAAGGCACTGAGTTAACTGAAACAACTTCTTTCAGATCACACATGCAGTTGTGAAAGGCAATTCAGTCTCTACCATGAGACCATTCACCTAATTGCATTTTTCTCCTCAGAAACCCTTCCCAAGTATGATGTCAAAAGATCACTTGCTTAATCATTATCCTTCATTGGTGAATTAATGACTCACAATTCAAACTGAGTTTAAGGACCCACGTAAATCAGTAAAACAATCACATATCTGAACAGAGCTCTGTATAGAACCTATGTATCCACGAGGTAAACTGTAAAACTTAAGCCAGGCCAATTAATCATTCTTAATCAATGAAGACTCATTCCACAGAATTAAAAAAAAAAATATTAAAGTGGATTTCAGGACTCCTTCAGACCCTCAGATATGTTTTCAAATGAACCTACTAAAATAAGAATAGGACACTTTCACTAGTGAGAAATACTGAGCAAATACTAGTGCTGTTCATGTACTAAATATCTGCCTTTCTATTGTGAGAATATTTCTCAAAGCAGCAGCAATGGCTCCTTGTGCCCTAGAAAAAAAAAGTCACTCATATGAGTAAGTCTGTTTTTTGCCAAATCCCCTTGATCTGGTTAGCAGAAACCTAGTTAGAAATATACATTTTAAGAAGGTCTGTTCTCCTGGAACAGAACCTTCCTCTCACTCCAGAAAACATGCAATCTGAGAACATACCTTAACTGGTTTAATCTCAGCAATGTAGAATGAGAACTTTCTAAGACATGAGTACAGTGTATGTGTCTTGGTGTTACAAGTACTTAAATAATGCTTTAAGGAAACAGAAACAGGTGAATAACCTAATTTAAGTAAAAACAAGAAAATGCATTACATAAAAATTCGGATGACTTTTCACCTTGGCTTTAAACAGCTCATACAAGAGGTCTCACCATCTACGTACGACATGTACCTCTTATGGCTTCCTGACCACCTAACTGCTACAAAACCAAACTGCTTTAAAGGAATTAAAAATACAGTACAAATATCCAGTGATTCCAAAGATCAGTTAGTAGCATTGCAATCTCAGGAAGGAGGAGTTTTGTGCATAGGGAAGGTTTTCTTATGTAAACCTTCAGACACCAGTTTCCTTTTAACACTCTGATGGCAGGGAGATAGTTGAAAGAGCATTTAAGTGATTTCTGAAGAACTCCTAGAGAACCCAGCCCTTTTTTAAAGAGAGGACAGGACAGTCTGCTGTGAGTTGTGCTCAGAAGAAGAGATATATTGCTACGATAAAATCTTGAAATGTTTACATTTCAGTGGCATGAACCTGCCCAGCAAGTCTTTCCATTGTGGAGCAGAACATTTTATGCTTCCAAGGAG